ATGTACCCTGTCTTGCCATTCGCAGTGATTTCACTAACTCCTGCGAACATAGGAAATGTTTATTCTCTTTGTTTCTGAACTTATGATAATATTTTTTTTGCCCATTCTGTATAAACAATTGTGTGTGCTTGTAACAGAGACAAAAAATAAGGAATATACCGGGTAATTATGTACAGTATATCTACCAGAAAATCTGAGTTGAAAATAACAATAACACGGCTTGACTGGTAGGGAGGGAGAGCTAGGGGGATGTAGCTACAGGGACAGTCTGACTTGGTGACATGTCAAGTCCACACATTCACTTCATACACATGCCCATGCTCTTCATTTTTCTTATTTTATAGCAACAATGCCACCTTCACAGATATGTACTGTAAAATTGATATTACTATTTAATTATATTAATCAATTTTATATGTATTTGACTCAAATTTAATTAAATGTACAATACAGTTATTGTTTAGTGAAGGCAGAGACAACTTAGTTAGGCTTTGACTAGTGTAATTTGTGGCTATGGAACCTAACTCCCTAGTTCTCTTGCCAACCACGGGGTTTTTCAGGAACCTAACCCCTGCCATTGGTGAGGGACTAATCTACTGTACATAGAAGAGTTGACAATGTAGGCTAGTATGTAGAGGGTGCATGTACAGTGTGTATACAAACCCTCCTTCATAGAGTGAGAGGGGAGTGTCAGTTAGTAACATCTGTTACAGGAGATGGTACAAGACAAAGGCAGGCCATCCTGTATCATCATATCACCATTTGGCCTGCCTGCAGCACAAGCTCAAGATGACTGCATCTGCTGGGGAGTAGAGTACAGTATAATGTACAGTTAACCCTTGTTTTTTGTGGGTTTGCGATTCACATTAAGCAGATGGTGGCTAGCTTACGAGCCTCTCTCGCAGCGCAACGAGTCACCCCACATGCCCGCAGCATCTCCTTTCCCTTTTTTGCGCTCAACCATTGCCTGCAATGCAGCATCTCTTGTATTGTGCTCAAAACTTAAGTGTTTCTGTGTGAAATGGCCCCTAAAAGACTGCCTAGTGTCAGTGCTAGTGATGCTATTGGAGTGAAACTTAAAAGGCAAAAGTCAGTAATGACCCTGACAAAGAAAGTTAAATTATGAGATAAGTTAAAAGAGGGGATGAGTGCCGCCACAGCTGGTTGGTTGCTTGGTATAGGTATACAGTAGTGCACTAAGATAGTATAAGTTGCTATTCGCAATTTTGCCCATTCACGCCATTCCTTGAAACCGAACCCCCGCGAATAACAAGGGTTTACTGTACACAGTAGTAGTATATTTTGTTTATTTACAATACAGTATACTATATTGTATATGTACAGTGGTATTTGCATAAATAAAAACAGCTCTGTGTCAGTCCATTCAAGATGCATAGTTTAGACTCTCAGAAAACCTTCTCCCAGTGCCTGGGAAAATTCCAGGGATGTGTGATTTTTTCAGGGATGAGAAAATTCTCCATATCCAGAAATTTCTCAATCTGTAACCGCTCTGCACCGTATATTCCAACTAACAGGATATTACCGGTGTTTGTCTTTTATTTTGGATGTACAGTACTGTACTTGACTTCTTAAACATGTTAATTTCTGGTTCTGAGAGAAAAACTGTTTTGGGGCCATAAAAATCACAAAATGTCAAAAAAAATTATTTGTTACAAAATCTCAATAGAATACCTATATAGGTATCCTCGTTATCCAAATGTTCACTTTTCAAAAAATCCGATTTTCAAAAAATATTCTTACAACTCATTTACACTATATTCGCTGATCCAAAAGACGGTTTGATTGAAAATTCAAATCAGTTCACCCCTCCTCACCCCCCTTGGTGAGCTCTGACTACCCTCCTATACAGTAAGGTACAGTAATGTACCAACTGTACAGTACAGTATATTTTATTTAGTTTAGCAATTACTGTACAGTAGTTAAGTATTAAATTACAGTGGTTAGGTACAATACAAGATTACAGTACAGGTAGTAAAGTACAGTACAGTATACTAAATTACATCAGTTACGTAGGTTTTTTGTTGTTCGTGAACCGAATCCATTTGGGAGGGGGGGTGGGTATAGTATTGGGGTTTTCTTGTCATTGGGTAACTGAACCCCATTTTTCCATTTGTTCATTTATTTGCTATCTCAACAGTTTTCAAGGAATCTAACCCATTCAGATAATGAGATACCTGTCATCCTTTAACACACTGATTGATGTTGGAATTTGTGTAATTCCAGTACTGTATTGTCCTAATGAGTCTAGGACAAATTTCATTCCGTGTATAACCCTAATTATTTGCCTCGTAATTTTCCAACACTAATTTTTGGTGAGTTCAATGTGAAACAGGTTTTTTAATGCAGTGAGATAAAATGAAAAGACAAAACTTTTTGATTATTCTTTATCAAGTGGAACCTTGTGAACCAGTACTTCAATAAAACCTATATAATACTAATCCATAATAAAAGATAATGCTTTATATGCTGTAATTAAGTATGAAAATAATGTAAAGAAACTCCCTTATAACTGAAAGAGATAACAACTTTAGGAAACATCATGTAGAACAGTGAGTGAGATCCTCTTATAAGATCCCAGACACACTACATCCAGTTGTGGACAAAAAGTATTTGGCATGGAGGAGGGAGATGTAAGGGTGTAGGTGGAGACTTAGCACATCTCACAGAGGTGATGGTTAAAAGTCTACAATTTTCTTTTCATACCACAAATAGATTTTTTTTTAAGTTTAATTATGAGGCAAGTTTAGCTTGCACTAATAAATGTGCTGTAAATAACTTAAAACAGTACACCAAAACAACCATAAAAATCACTCTATGCAGCATTGCCAAGTCTCCATCTACACCTCTACTCTCCTTCCCTCCCGAATTCTTTTTGTCCACAACTGTACACTGTCTGCTTCATTGATGGCGAGTTAATTTGTGAGGACACTCCCCACACCCCTCTTCACCAGGCATTAAGTGAGTGGGAACAGTTTTTTTTTTTTTTTTTTATACACTTGTTTAAGCCATAATTTTTTTTTTACCACTAAGTATTAAAATATATAAGCATTTTCAAAAAAGAAATTCGACAGAAACTGGGAATACTGATGAGTATAAGTCCAAGTATATGATAAAAATGCTATATAGCCATTTTGGTGGGTAATTTTTTCTACAGCTTTTATTCAAATTATATTATAATGAGTTTTGATCTGGCTTCTGTGGAAAATCCACCTGAAGGCAATGATACAATTGTATTTTATTTAAGTAATAACCGAGATACAAAGTATAGAAGAGAGAAATATAGGGTGCAGCTATGCCGTGGCTAATGCTAAAGGCATTGTTTTTTATGGGAATTTACTCCTAAATAACGTGTTATCCATTTGTGCCCATATGTACTACACACCACTGAATGCAGGAGAATCTGTACATTATCATGATATTACATTCTGACCAAAAGTGAGGGAATACCGACTAGTACAATATAGTCAGCAAAATAAATAGGAAATATATATGAAGTAAATTACAGTAAGTCCTCGCTTAAGGTCGGGGTTACGTTCCTGAAAACGCGACGTTATACGAAACAATTTTAAGCGGATCAATTTTCCCCATAAGAAATAGATAAAATACAGGAGTTACGTTCCAGAGCCTCCCTTTGCCCCATGTAATACATTACATATACATAAATTCAAAACTCCTTGTGTGATGCCTGGAGAGGTGCTTGTATGCATTGTTATAGTCACATTCATTGAGATTTATAAGAGAAAAACTTAAAACTCCTCTACATGACAAATAAATACCATTAGGTATCCTTGGTTGGCCAGCTGGCCTGTCATAATACATCACCTCCTCCAACGAACTACCGGCAAGATTGAAGGTTGTTTAGGCTCAAAGTTTTTATCTTATAAAATGGCACAGACTAAAGTTAACAGAATATAAATTGCATTGTTGGAATCCTTGCAAGACAGTGAATAATATGAACATAGACATCATATATTTTGCACAGGAGATAAAAATTTTAGTCCCTTTAGTACATTTAAGTTCTGTACATGTTTTTCAACCTATTTTTTGGCAGATATAGTAACTTTCTTCATTTATTTTTACTCATTTACATGCACACACCATCCTAAATGCATATTGTGAATAAAGTAAATGAAATATTTGTCCTAAGGGCGAGGGTGATGCGCTGTAAAAAGTAGTCCGTGACGAGGGAAACGACTTAGTACAAACAACTTAGTACCGAACCAACAGGATGTTAAAAAAAATTTTGGTCTCCAATAGTTTAGCAACGCAGTATGGAAACAACGATAAGCGTGGACTTGCTGTACATAAAAGAAAAAAAAACGTACCTTTTTCCTATTTGTGTGTGCATGAGTGTGCACACCTCTTTCGTGAGATTCGGAGGGTTGGGGCAGGAGAGAAGTTACTTGCTTGTATTGCCGTAGCTTGTGAAAAGCATAGAAGCAATTGCCCAAATGCAAAGCTACTTTGCTTACTATGCACTCAAAGTTGGATGAGAACCATCCTCTTGCACCCTCACATCACTAGGTGGCTGCCACCCAGCCATAGCATTTTGTTTTATCAACCAATTCATACAAATAACACGGTGTTTTATACACAAATATTGTACAAATCTCTATGGTCGGCAAGGATAATTCACAAATAATGCAAGAAAAGTTCAGACTGTGGCAACACTGTCGCCTTAGGTCAAGTATGAGCTTACTGATGCAGGCCAGGCAAAACTGAGCCAGACACATCTCACTCTTCCTGACTGGTTGACGAGGAGAAGAGGGATATAGCTCCCATACTTGGGTTACCGAACACTAACACTTGCCTGATTTTTGACACATTTGACGAATCAGCTGATTTAAAATATTTTTTACCGTCAACTCAGAGCAGCATCCAGATCCCAGAAGCAAAAAGATTTCATCTGACACTAAGTAGTGTAAATATCCTGGAATAGTGTTAATTTGTAAGGAAACTCTAGTAAGATCCCCAACAAGTTACGTACATCATTTATTCCATTGATGGCGAGTGTTAATTAATTAACTACTGTTCATTTCATTGTTTCTACTATATGTATTGTACATACAGGTACAGTATTTAAAATATTAATTACTTATTTTATATATAATTTTTTTTTATGTTTGTTACATTAGTGCCAAAAATCAGAAGTCAGAACACATCTGCAGGTAATAAAAGTATTACAATGGGAAAATTACTCCATGAAATGTAATTTCACACTGTGAAATTTTTACATGAATAAATGTACTATCTTAAGTGGGGTACACCTATATTATGACTCTCAAAAGCCTAAAAAATTTCTAATAATAAGTCTCTTCATCAAAGTTCTAGTATTAATATAATTTGTACCACAATATCTAAAACCTTTTGAACATTAGGTATGTCATATATATATATATAAAAGAGGGCGGCTCAAACCATTCCTAGATTTGTTTCATTGGAGTTAAAAGTTGAAATGACATAAGACAGACTTTACCTTTTTCTCCACAAAAGCTCCCTATATAGCACAACACTTCTCTTGTTGAGGCACCTGAATGTCTAGAGAGTAAAACCATTACAGATCATGGACCCTTAAATGGTTCTCCGACAGCAGTTGTTGCCCACCTAGCTGATGCTTTACTGTTATTAATTGATGGAAATCAGTAGGAGCCAAATCAGGGCTGTAGGACATGTGAGCGATAACTTCCTGGTTCAAATCCTATAGTTTGACCTCAGTGTTATCAGCTATGTGAGGGTGGGAATTATCTTACAGAAATTTTTTTTTTGAACATTTTAATCTGTCAAAACTACATCATAATTTTGTTTCCTACATGAACTCCATGAACATGAAGTCATGTTTGTGATTCAGGATAATGCCCAGCTTCACACAGCTTTAATACCACAGTCAAACTACAGTTTGTGCTTGGTTCCTAATGAATTTCATGTATTTGAGTCACTGAAGAAACACACTGATAACATGAGGTGAAGGTCCATATCTGAAATTGGTTGAAGTGAATGGACAAAATAATATACGCTACCAGTTTTCAAGCACTGATACGTCAGTGGGGAAGGGCAGTGCTGTAAAGGGAGGTGATTTTGAGAAAATGAGTCATTTTAATGCTCAAATCATTATAACTCATTACCTGAATAAGCAAATGAATGAAAATTTTGAACCGCATGTAAGTGCATAAGGAAATCTTTCAAGCAATTAAAATATTGTGATATGTATGAAAATAAAATTGTTCATGTGTCTGCTATTCCCCTAAAATCAATGGTTGGCAATTTTTCTTTCATTAAAGATTTAAAAAAAAGACTCATTTACTGTTCTAGTAATGTAATGTAAAGATTAAGAAAATCCTTATACTTGTACAGTGACTTTAAACTGTGATAATAGTAATTTATTGCATGAATCACTGTCATTTGAAATACATTAATAACTTAACAAGAGTTGTAAAACTGACTCCGAACGAATCACAAACAAGTATGATACCGGTATATATAAAAAGGGAGCCATAAAGAAACATGTAAATGATTCAAGCTTGTATCCTATTAGTAGTTCTATTTTTGATAAAAATAACTTCAGAATGTCAATAAATTAAAAAAAAATTCCCCACACTAAGTTACTTTTTATTTGCAGTGTTTATCTAAATCTATTGCTTTTTCATTTTCTTTGATTCTTGTTCCTCTGCTTCATCTCCTTCTCGCTTCAGGGGAGGAACGGAAAATCCTGGGATAACGGGTTGAATAAGCTTGCAGACAACCCGCTGGTGTTGAACATCTGAAGCATCCACACTTACTTGTATACGCAGATGGTCAAATGGACGAATTACCACATCCCCACACTTCACATACAGTTCCTGAAAGATTACAGTATTTTCAGAAATTTCTTTATGAAAATAACAAGTGTCAACTGATCAAATAAAACAAATGCACATACAAGTAGTACATACAGAGGATGACAATGTCCTATAATCATGATAACTGCATGAGACTTTCCAAAGAGCTATTTACCATATTAATATCTAATTTTCTAGCCAACTGACTGATTTTAAATAGTTTTTCTATACCCGTATATTACCTTTACTCCTCTACCAATTTCGTGCTTTGTGGATCATGGGGTAAAGAATGGAGGAGGGAAATAATGTGAGTAATACAAGACTTTGAAAGGGCAAGACTTAGACAATTGTTAATTTGCAAAATCATAAATTCATCTGTCAGGCTGATCATTGCCATCATCAACTAAAAAAAAAGGGGGGGGGGGGAGGGATTCTGTTCACGACCCATAATCTTTCTTTGGGCATTATCTAACATACCTGTACACCTCACTAAGTCACCTACATAATCTATCCACTCTTTTTCTCAATGGACCTCTAAAATAACATTACAATTGAATTAATTTTAAGATAAAATCCCTCCCAATTGTTTTTTTCCCCCACCAATATCCATTATTTCTGATTTCTCATCTTTCTGTTTCCTTAGTCCTTACAATACTTGCAACTGACACACATAATCTCACTTTATAAATCCTACCACGTTAAGTTTGTTTTACTGAGAAGAATTATAATGTACTGTATTTACAAACCTGTTCATTAAATTCAAACTCAGGTGCTGTAATTTCCTCTTCAACTTCCATTGGTTGTACTGATTTCTGATTTTGTTTCTTTCCCAATTTTCCTTCATTCTTCTTCTTCTTCTTCCTTCTACTATCCAAGTATAGGGTCAACTGCTGACCAATTGTTGGTACCAAGACCTGGATGGCATTTTTGTGAAGGACCAACACATAAGAGTCAAATTCTGACACCTTTCCTCTTAGAGAAGCCTGAAATATTTCATCCAAAGTAAATATAACTACAGGGTATGTATGTTTACGTACAGTAATATCCCTGTTAGCCGGAATATTTGGTGCAGAGCGGTTCCGAGACTGAGATATTTCCAGGCATGGAGACGAATTTTGTCATTCCCAGAAAAAAACTCTATAACTCCGGAATTTTTTCGGATACTGGGGAAAATTTTACAAGTCTAAACTATGCATCTTGCATGGACAGAAACTGAGATGTATTTATTTATGCAAACACCACTGTACACATACAATATACAGAATTGTAAGTAAACAAAATATACTACTGTACATACACCATACTGTACTCACCAGCAGATGCTGTCATCTTGAGCTTGTGATGCAGACAGGCCAAATGGTGATTTGATGATACAGGATGGCTTGGCTTTGTCCTGCACCATCTACTGTAGCAGCTGTTGCTAACTGACACTCTCCTTTCCCTCCATGAGAGAGGGATTGTACACACACACACTGTATACTGTACATACACCCTCTACACACTAACATACACTGTCCACTCTACTCTGTACAGTACTGTCCACATGGAACAGCAAGTTCTCGCTTAACGTTGTGGTTATGTTCTTCTTGTAAACATCATTAACAGAATCAAATTTTCCCAAAAGAAATAGATCAAATACACTAGTTACATTTCCCAGCCTCCTTCTGCCCCATAAAATTAACTAGTACATATACATAAATTCAATGGAATTCTTATAGGAAATATATACCTGTATGTACTATCCATCCAAAAAATATAAATATGTATATAATCGAAATTATTTTTTAATTAATAGGATAAAAACAATCATTCTGTACTGTACTCACCGATGGGCCTTAATCTTGTCTGTGTTGGTTCCGATACTATGCACTGTTGTGGGGGTTAGGCCCAATGCTACACAAATGTCCACAGCACATCCTCTTAATCAAAATGGTTTAAAACATCCATTTTCATAGCAAGGCTAATGGTCTTGCATTTTTTCTTCACAACATTAGTTAACATTACAGTACTACCACTTGATGGGCACTTGGAAGCCCATTTCATACATGCTGGAAGCTTAATATAGACTGGGAAGAAGATGCTTGGGGACGCCGTGATGATCCGTGAGGCCATACTCTGCACACCATGCAAAGTAGTCCGTGCTGGGTCACAACAGTAGGGCAACATTACAACGAATCGGGCAGGTCGTAAAACAATGTTGACGGAATCATGGGTAGAAACGTTACAACGAAACAACATTGTCTGGGACAGCGTTAAGCGAGGACTTACTGTACTTTCACACTTACTTTATGTACGGTACAGTGTATGTAACTGAAATCACTTTTTATGTCTTAACACTGCTTTAACAGTATTCTTGGCTGATTATATGTTGGACCTCAACATAGACGAATTTAAATTTTGCGAATTTGCCTATCCGCACAGGGGCCTCAGATGTTAATATCAACTGAAATAACAAAAAAGATATGGTGCTTATTTTAAAAACCGCAGGCATCCGCCATGATGAGATGTCATGGTGTCCTGCCGCTTCTCATGCTGCTGTGTTCTCTCAGCTTGTTGTTAAAATGTTATAACTGCGGTTCAACAATGAAGATCTTTAACTCATATGCCCCGAGTGAAGTAAGACCCACTGGATTCCCACACGGGCATATTTTTGGGGGGAAAATAAATAATTAAATCTACAGTGAAAACTGGTATTTCAGGCGTAAAATTAGTGCAGCCACTCCAAGTGTACTGTTGTGGTTGGTGTGCATGTGGTCCACCTACATCCATGGCCTCACTGGTGGTTGGTGGGGTGGGCTGGGATGGGGAGAAGGAGAGAGCACCATTGTCTGTATCACTGTCCTCACTGCTGGCAGCCTCAACAAACTCTACATCATCTGGGTCTGTTTCTTCCCCATCACTGTCTTCGTCATCCGATACTATACAGTATCAATGCCATTCAAATCAAGCAACTCTTGATGAATAGAACTGCTGTCAAGGGTTTGGAGGGGCGAGGTGGGTCACAAAATGTCAAAGGACGTGATAGCTGGTGGGTAACTGGACCAAGAGACTTGTGACAGAGATTACAAGCGAAGTAAATTACAAAGTAAATAAATATCCTTTGTCCAGCCTGGACATTCAAACTATGCCGTGAAAATCAAGGACATGAGGAATATTACCAGGGGTCACTTTAGTGGGCACATGTTGCAATCTCTTAGAAATTTTTTCCAATGCCTAGAATGGAGAGATTTTTCCCAGAATTTTGCGGAATAAAAAAAAAATCCAGGTTATTAGGAGAGTTCCGGAGATCGAAGATTCCGGCAAACAGAGATTACTGTACATCTAAGAAAATGTATGATAGTCAACTGAAGTGTATGGGCTAAAAAAGGCCAAGGATGTGTTAATTAAGTGTTTCCATAATAGAGTATGAATAATAAGTACCTGGTGAAGATGAAGAATTTGTTTGTGACAGTTATGAATCTTGAAAAAACATAAGACAACTGATAAATTGGAATGTTATAATTATTCAAAATGTACAGGATATTTGAGGAAAAAATGAACCCTGTTAAAGTTTTCATAGTAAGTAAAGCATAGTATGCTGCCACAAGGTAATAAAAGGTATTGTAGTAAGCAAAGGCAAGAAATATGGAGGAGTGGAAGCTTGACTAATAGTAACATGGGCATAGATAGAAAGTGGGTCATTAGGTGTTTGCAGATGATTCAAAAGAAAACATGAAAATGTTAATAAATGGATTTGGAGGAGTGTGCTTTAGGATAAAGTCAATCATCACACAGCAGCAGCACATTTATTGTTCAAAACCATTCTATGCCATGTTTTCCATACATTCATTCATACATACATACATGCACACACACATACACTGCTGCCTGAATTTCCACCCTCCAGCTTTCTAATTCACGGTAGTCCAAAACTAAATACTGTATAAAACTCACAATTGCTGTAATTTCGGCTGATCCTCTGCCTGCGTACTGAGACATCTTGTGTCGATAATTGATGTGCTGAGTGAGATCTGCCAACTTCTTGGGGTCCAACAGGTCTGGGTAAGTCCGGTCTGCTTCGATAATAACTGCCAACAATCTGTGTACAATGATGTCAGCATACCTGTAAAGAATGTGGTCAGATTAGTTAACCTGAACACATATCTGTGCAGCATCTCTGAATGGGGAGGTACAAACTTGGTTAAGTTCAATAGTAATAACACTCAATATTTACCAATTACACTTGGTGAATTAGATGATCTCCCACCAATTACATTTCAGGACGCTATCATCCTCCCAAATTCTGAAATAAATATGTTAGGCCTCACCATTTCCTCCAATATATCCTGGAAATCACACATCCTTAGTATAACTAAAGCTGCCTCCCGAAAGTTGAGAATGCTGTACAGATGCCGCAGCTACTTCATTCCTGAGCAGTTGCTCCAAGTATATAAGGGATTCATTCGTCCTAACTTGGAGTACTGCTCTGATATCTGGAGTGGCTCTTCTTCTGTCCAACTATTAGATAGGGTTGAATCAAAGGCATTTCATCTTATTAACTCTCCTCCTTTAGTCGACAATCTCTCTTCCCTTTCTCTTCGCCGCAATGTTGCTTCACTCTTTCTCTTTTACAGGTACTTTAACGGGCAATGTTCGGTGGATTTGGCATCCTGTGTACCGCCGGCAAGGCCGTGGGTTCATAACACACGTCTTGCCTGCGGTGCCCACCGTTTCTCTGTGGATGTCGGTCACACGAGAATAACCCGTTATAGTGCCTCCTTCTTTCCTCACACAGCCAAACTGTGGAATGCTCTGTCTTCTTCTGTGTTTCCATGCTCTTACAATCTGTCTCACTTTAAAAAGCTGGTTTTCCGGCATCTCCATGGTGTAGATTAATACAGTATAACCTTTTTTCTATATATACAATTGCTTTCCGTTCTTTTTTTTTTGCCCCCCAGGCTCCGTTGTGGGTCGTTTGACCTGTGCCCGGGTGGGCTAATTCCCGTAAAAAAAAAAAAATAAAAATAAAAATGACATGACAGAACAAATTTAGGTCATATAAATCAACACAGACCCAGTTATTATAACTGTAAACTCTAAAGAAAACTTAAAACTGCAACCACAAGAAGAAACAAAACTATAATTTACAGGACACAAACTTCAATCTATACAAGAAACTTACTCTGTAAGCTTCAGAGGATTTACACTAGGATTATAGATGATATTTATTCTTGTTCTAATTACTAAAGAGAGATCCTCCAAGGAACTATCTATCATCTCAACTCGTCTCCCACCTTTGTGTAGAGTGAATCAGAGGATACACAAACCTCAGAGAAAGGAGGAAATTATACACTGTTGGTGTTGTAAGAAAAGTGCAAAAAGTAATATCACAAGGCATCCCCTTTGGAACCAAGGCTAATTTTATTTAGGCATAATATTAAGATACTGTACAAGGTTAATGATACCTCAGTTCTGGCTGTCTAGAAAAGTTTAAAGGCACAATCTGTATTTACCTAACATCATGGAACACTATACTGGTAACATATAGGATCAAAAGAAAACTGTACAAAGAAATTTAAGTCATGAAATTGGTGAATAAATGCTGTCCAAGAAAATATATTAATAATTTCTGCCATTTCTATTCAATCATAATTCATTAAAATAGATACTGGTACTGTACTGTACTCGACTGTATATTGTACTAACCTTCTAATAGGTGAAGTAAAGTGGGTGTATGTTGGTGTAGCCAGACCATAGTGATTATATTCTGGGGATTCCAGTGTCCCGGAACAGAAGTAGAGAGCCTGCATCATGCACCGAGTGGTCATGATACGCAACATACTGTTGAAGAAGGGGTTATTGTCCCGTGTTGCATGGTTCAGACTGTTGGCCAGGGTTTTGTTGCTTGTTACATCTAATTCAATGTTCTGTGGAAAGAGTTACATCTAATTAAATGTTCAGTGGGAAAAGTTACATCTAATTCAATGTTCTGTGGAAAGAGTTACATCTAATTCAATGTTCAGTGGGAAAAGTTACATCTAATTCAATGTTCTGTGGGAAAGTTACATCTAATTCAGTGTTATGTGGAAAAAATTACGTCTAATCAAATTTTCAATTTTCAGTAGAAAAATGGCAGTAAAACATTAATGACAATATTGTTTTAGCCAAAAGGATATAGAAATTTTTGAGTGATAGTCATTCAATGAGCACGGTGGCTGCTTTCCCCAGCCCTCCAGCCCTGAGACTGTTAAGAGATGACTAATACCAGTACAGCAGAAAGCAATAGATCCTACAAATCAAAGGATGAAAATAAATAAACTGATTTCAATAGGTTAAAGATGAGGAACTGGGCATGGTAAATTAAAATAAACTGTAGGTAGAGGAATACTGTATATGCACGATAAGCAAACAAGACAAAATTACTTTGGATAAACTTGATCCAGCAAATATTTCTCCTGTGCTGGGCTACAGTTTTCTTGCAATGGTCATGAAAATTCATGGACACTTAAAACTGAATGTCAAGGTTATTAAAATGGTGTACAAAATATAAAATGTAGATACAGTACTCAAAATTGTGACTCCCAAGGGTTTACTGTATTGTATCTACAAAATTTGCCACCTACCCACCCACAAGAACTTAACATGAATCACTCAGTAAATGGATTGCTGTACAAGACTTGGCAATAAACAAACTAAAAAATATGGTGAAGTAATTAAGGAAGTCCATCAATTCACTAATTGACTTACTTGACTTTTTGCTGCTAACAACAAGGGATCGAAGTTTGATGGTGGAGGTGCCGGATGTCTCCGAAGAAGAGCACAATTTGGGAAGTGCTGGGTGAGATATATTGACTTATTATTATTACGTACTTGCTACAATAACAAATTCAATATATTCTTTCTTTTATGGAAAAAGCAGAACATTTGGGATTTAAAAATCTAAAATCAAGGCAAAAATATATTTACCATTATCACTAACTGCAAGAATAAACCCAGTGAAACTATCAATACTTTGGGGTTAAAGATTTCCAGTCAAAATAAATATATTTTTCGTTCTAAGATGTTTTAGTATTATCATTAATATATAATCTATCTCCTTACTACCAATTACAACTCTTATTTATTTGTCCTCATTAAGGTTAACATCTGTCTTCATACATTGCTATTCTTCAATCTAATGAAGAATTCTTGATACAAATGTATAATATTCATAAGAATCTAAATTGTGTGGTAAGTTTCAATGATAAAATCTTCCATTGTCAGTGCTCACCTCTAGTGTGGTTTCTGCAGATGTCACATTGGCCAGCAACATGAACTCTTCAACCATGCTCATTGTCTCCAGATGTTGCTTGGCTACGATGTCGACCACAGTGTCTGTGTCAGGATCAACGTGGAATTTAACTTCCATACTAGCCAACACCAGTGCTCTGAAAGATGCTTATGTTCAATAGCACGAAAGTTTATTACCTACCTTTGAGAATATACAGTACCTATAATCCTGTACCACATTATGAGGTGGATCAAGGAAAAAAAAAATGGGAGGAATGGCACGGAAGTATAGTGCAAGAAAAGTGTATGAGTGTATTTTGCTAAACAGTACGTCAATTATCCGGTAAGTAATCCCTGGGTACAACGCACTAATATCTTAAACATAACCATTTACCACAAGGAATCGGTTGCAGAACTGCCTCTATGTCAAGCTGTAGGAGGTAATTAATGTGTTCTGACTGGCCCTCCCTGAAGCCCAAAAGGAGAATGGGGAGCAACCAAGAGCAAGAACTGTTTAGCATGAACATTTTTTTAAAGAAAATTGCTTGTATGGGTAGCAGCACTTTCCACACACTTTACATTTTATTGGTAAGTGTTGTATGTAAATGCATTAGTGTAACTGACTGAATATATTCAGATTCTGTACACATAAACTTTTCTTCATGTAGAAATAACCACTATGGTATGAAGGTGGATATTCTCTGCATGCAGTAGTTTATAATAACAAAACTTATCTCTGCATTTACACTTATGTAATGAGTACAGAGTTACACAATGCATGTTATAAAGAAAGAGAGGGGGTTCTTCCAGAAATCTTAAGAATCTAGCACACACAGATACATCATCCTCAAAGGGGTCTGCAAGGAATTAGAATGAACTGTGTTGAATATACAGTAAGCACTGAACTTATTTGGCAGGTCAAGGTCCAAGTTCAAGGCCATAAAAATTTAAAAAATCATATTTTTTGCCATAACTCTGGAACAAAACCTCATGTAGATTGATGGGATTTGTTGCATTAGATTCTTCAGTGCAAGGCACATGGAATTTATTTTTATCTATGACATTATTCTTCATAAAATGACATCAAAGATAACTAAAAAAAATTTCATGGAAGTTGATTTTTTTATATAAAAACAAAGAAACTCTGGAAACTACTTAGGAAGTCCCCCCCACCACAAGTTAATAAGTCAAAAGTCAAGATCAAAATGACCCAAAAATTTTCTATGGAGATTCTTTATAAGACCCTTCACCAGTTCATAAAATTAAAATGTAAGTGATTGAGGCAAAGTATGCCATGTTTGATTGCCTTGCTGACACCCTGTAATATAATAATTTAGCATTAACTTTGGGAGCCCATTATAAACTGGGGCACAATGAGTTCTAGGTCCTAATAAGACCCAGAGTGAATGGAAAATGAAGAATGAACAGCACTCTTAACATGCAATAAAGTTTGGAGTCATTAGAAATTCAGTCTTCATGGGTTGTATGTCTTAAAAAATGGCCCCATTTTAATGAAGAGAGAAGATTGAAACCCAAGCTGGATGGTGTGCTATCGTGAATGTGGGACCTCATTAGGATTACCAGTAGGCCCATTACCACTGGGTATCATTAAGACTGGGTTAACCTTAGAGAAATTTAACCTAACCTAACCACAAACTTGACATAACTTATAGTGTGAGTATGGAGTGAAAGAGTCCACCATGCACACTATTACAAAGGTTTCTGAGAGTAAATTAGAAAGCTCATATCACTTAGATCCAGCAACATTAGGGTTAGTGTGACACAAGCATGGGAGGCAGAAGTGAGGGGGCACATCACAGAAAATGAGACCTTACCTTCCAGTTCATCTTTCACCCCATCCTTCCAGCCCCTTCTTGGTATTCCCCTCTCCCTCCTCTCATCCACCCTCTTACCCGGTCCTTAACTTCCCATTCTACCAATGTATCAGTACCACACGAACATTTCCACATCTTCCTTATTTCTGGATTTCTTAATTCTCACTATCCTGTTCACTCAATACTGTTCTGTCATTTAAAAATTACATCCACATAATGTCAGCTAAACAATACCCCTGAACTCCCTCATCTTTGTTTCCTTTCTCACAATTCTTTTTCACTATACATTTCTCAATCCACTTATTTTCTTTCCTTGCACTACTCTATGGGTCATGTCTCATCATTTCATTCGTTTATACACTCATTCTTATACAGGGTGGGTGAGAAATAACTGACATATGACTTGCAGCAGTGTCCACTGTATATATATTATGTGTAAGTGTAATGTATGTTGTGTGATATGCTTGATGTATAGTATGTTGTGTACTACGTCAGTTATTTCTTGCCCAACCTAATGTGAAAAACTGCACTTCCTTTATTTTATCTTTACTGAGGCTAACATTTTTTTCTCCCTTCTCCATTTCCATCAATTTACAGTTGTTCATATTCACAGTCAATTTTCTCCTTGTACACATTCACACAAACGAATTCAATTACAGTAAAAAATTTGTCCCAATCACCACTAGACCAATGTTATCTGCAAGCATCAGCTGGCTCCCCTCCCATTTCAGGGGTAGAAATTCACCATTTTTTCATAGTCGCCAGCAGAACTAGTAGATTTGAAAATTTACTAGTCCATATAAATTTTTACTAGCCCTTAAACAATTTGTCCAGAAACATTAAACATTGGCACTTACCGGGTTTATACAATGTTCTATTTACTGTGTGACATTTATTTACTAGTAGAAACCATGTTAAATCATAAACCAACACTGGAATAATCACATATTAACTAAATTAATTGCATGGAGCACATTCCATTGTGATGAAGCTATTTGGAATGTACCAATATATCAAAATTATTTCCTATTCCAAATGTAAACCATATTCATCCACTTATTTTTAATAACAGACAAGAAAAATTCTCATATTGTATAACTAACAAGTGAACTTACTGTGTTTAGGTTTGTGAACTGCACTTTAAATCCTTTGATGATTATCAACGGTCATCAAGTTATTTTGATGAACGCACTGGACGAACTATAACATACAAATTGGATCGACTTCAACTGAAACCTGGTGTAGTTCCACCAGTGCTTCCCAATTGGATAATAATAATATATAATTTATGCAAAAGAAATAATGATAACGTTAGAGTAAAAAATAAGAATGTGAGAAAGCTTTTAACCATGAGCAAATTCTAATACTATATCTTTGTAATTCACTTTGTTCTATAATACAATAGTTAATTACTACAGTATTTGATTTTCAATGTATGTGTGAATTGGTTGTTAAATTTTGTACACGTCATTATTTTTTGATATCTTGTTTGTATCGGTGATAATCTGAATATGTACTTGAAATTGTTTTTTGATAATAAATGGTGTGATTATTGATGAAAGGCAGTTTTCATCACTTGTCAATTGTTTTTATTCTTGCCTATTATACATTCAGGTATTAAATTTCACTGTCATTGCCTTTATATTATGTATAGAAATGAATTCCTCAATAATAATTGTATATCTACAAAATTAGACTGCGTTTATTCATTACAATGCATGGTTTTCCATACACCGACGTGAGTAGCTGTCGTATCTGTGTGTGACGTCATACACTCCCTGAACCGGCCTGGTGTTCTAGGTGGCAATGCACCAACTCATTTGTCCAGTTTTATCACACTACATTATATCATTGAGTGTATATATTTTATTTTCATTTTCATATAAAATGTTATATACAGAAAATGGATATCCCTTCCGCTTGCAATACCGGTGATACAATTAAGATAACCAGCATTAATAGTGTATTCTCTATATGAAGCTCTTATAGACATTGAGTGTCTCTTACCACTGTCATCGGCCCACTCACCCATCAGGCGATCCCAGACCACCAAAATAGTAAAATCTTGTCGCCCATATGATATTTTGGTCGCTTCGGGCGACCGGGCGTATGTGAATTTCTACCCCTGCATTTACACCAAGTATCTATATTCATCAGACTTTTATGTCTCTCCATCATTCTTGCTATCACCAAAAGTCTCACCCTGCATCAATTCTCTTGCTCTTCCGTTTCTTAGCCAGCCTGTTGAGTTTTCTGAGGGACTCCGTGAGGTCATCTTTCATATTTGGGTCGTCGATGCGCTGCTGGGCTTGTTCATAGCTCAATTCTCCACGGGATTTAATGATAGACTTGCAGAATCTGGTCGGTTAAAGACAATTTACTCACAAAAATGTGATAGGAATAACAAATAATATATACATACAATGATGTAAAATGATTTACTACTTGTTTATGTACAAAAATAGAATTGATGTTTGCAGTCTAAAAAAAAATTCAATTTATACATCAAACAATTCCATAATCTTAAATTATCATAATTTTTTCTGGAAATATCTCAAACAGTATTCAGTGGCATTTCAGTATAAAGTTAAGGAGCACAAATGTTAATAAGATTACTAACCTAGATGACAAGACTTCTGATTCTGGTGTCAATTCCCATATAACAGAAAAAGCAAATCTGTCCACATCACCACGCAGGGAACACAGGTTGCTGCTGAGAAGATCTGAAATGCCATAAATATCATAAATAATGGCTGAAAAAACCCTAAACTATCAATATAATAACCCATGCACTATAAATCTGGGTATTTCCCTTAAAACAACAGAAACAAAACTTACAATATATCCCCTGGATTCAAGGTTGAATACTCATTTTATTTTAACCTTAAGGTTAATAATTCTGAATAGTGAACTCAATGTGCCCTAAATTCTTAAACAACAACAACTTGCACAACACTGAACAAAGTGATTAAATTTTATACTCCTACTATTGATAGTTACAGTGATGAGTAAATATAATATTTATGTTTATTTAATGCATGATGAAGTATTTCACACTAATTTAACATAAAGCTGCTGAACCACTTGTGTACAAGATCCTCTCTCTGCTGAATAAAATTGTCTGGTGTTAACCAAATAAAACATTAGAAGTGATGTTCCTGTAGTGAGGGGGTTAAAAGATTCTTGGAAGCTTTTAGAAATTACTTTATCTATTACCAAATAATTCTTCAGCATTATTCCATAAACTTTTACATATGGTAATAGGCAGTAGGTAGTAGGCAGCTACCAAACAGGGAGGTACTACCGCCTGGGGAGATATTGGAAGCACAAAGTGTTGTCTAAAGGTAGACCCTGCTGCCATATGGCATAACGAAAATTGTGACCAAGTCCCAGGTTGCTGATCTGACTTTCTGCCTCATTTACACACAATTACAGGGTCTCAATTGTTTCTCTTACTACTGATAACACAACAACATACATTTATTGTTTCTCACTTTTGATCTTTTTTTTCTTTTCTGTATTTCTTTATGGTTCTTTATTATTATTATTATCATTATTATTATAGTATTACTTTATTTATAAATTTAATTTTTTTTTTAAATTTTATTTACGGTACAGTACTATGAATTATTATAGTAATAATAATAATAATAATAATAATAATAATAATTATTATTATTATTAATAATAATAATAATAATAATAATTATTATTATTATTATTATTACATTTTTGCCCCTCAGGCCCCGATGTGGGTCAGTGACCTGTGCCCGGGTGGGCTAATCCCATAAAAAAAAAAGTAAAAACCCGGAGAAAACTACAGAGTATAATTAAAAAAATATCCAGATAGCACAATACACACCTGGTACCATGTCAATACGACGGTTAGTGAGGTATACTGTGGTACTGCGGTTCTGTGCCTCCTTGTCTAGGGCAGTGTTGGGTCGGATGAAGTGAGACACATCGGCAATGTGAACACCAACCTACAACATCACAAGATTAATAAAAGGCCATCAAATAATAAAAAAATATTTGTTTTAATAATAACCAAACAAAATGCTGTTCATTAATTTTGGAAGCAAATATTTCAGAATAAAACACTCGGATAATATTTTTTTTTTTTTTTTTTTATTGGGCACTCCCCTACATCCTTGTGTAAGGTGAAACGCAGAATCGTTTACAGCACCCAACAGGGAAGCATGCTAAGTTCATGCTTGCCTTTTGTGTCTCATGAGTTAAGGGCGTAGAAGCCTGAAGAGTCAGTGGTTTATGTCATGAAGTTATTGGAAGCTCCAACAACTTTCCCTGAATACGAATTCGCAACTTTCGATTTACACCAGGTACCTACTTTACTGCTAGGTGAACAGGGACCAATGGGGGCTAGGAAGTAAGTCCAAACGACTTCCACCGGCCCGGGAATCGAACCCGTGACATCTCGCTTGCGAGGCAAGAACGGTACCGCATCTACCACCGGTCCCCCCGGTTCAGATAATTAATGTCAAAGCATGAATATTATACAGTACAGGATGACTCAAAAGATTGCAATATTTGTTTTTCTTCCATTAGAGGTTTTAATTACGTACATGACAATGAACCACATACACATCGGTTCCATAAAGCAAATGTGAATGACCATTAGTTAGTAGAGTATATCCTTTGGTACCTAACCTCAATGTTCTCTCACAGCTGGTCAATATTTCACAGTAGTCAATCCAGAGAGTGAAAGTCATCATGAGTAGTCAGGGAAGGAGTTTACAGTTCAATACCACAAAATTCAACATTTGATGAATTAAATACAAAGTGTGCAATGTGCCTAAGAGTCCTAAATTTTTATAAACACAGCACTGTATATGGATATTATGATAAGGCAGTAGGCAAGTCTTGACAATTTAAGAAAAGTATTATTACTAAAGTCTTATGGAAGGTTTTTAAAGCAGAGTGAAATAAAGGTAGATATAATTAATGAGTTGTTGTTATGAGTAATTGTGAATGTGGATGCAAAAATTTTACCCTGTATACTGCATATGAAAGTTGATGATACAAGTACAGTAAGATCTTGTATTTCGTGAGTAATATAGACTGGAAAAATTGTGCCAAATTCAAATTCGCCAAATGCAAATACATAAACTAATGGGAAAAATAACAATATAGACTAGCCACTCTTACATCAACCTTTGATTTTCCCATTTATAACCTCCAAATGATACAAATTCTGCCTTTATTGACCTGATTGTGCTTTCCAGAAACTATTTCTAGGCCTTCCTCAAGTAACTTAATCACACGCCGCTTATCCTACATCGAGTACTTGGCAAACTTAACTCCCTTATGATAGTCCCACTTCTCCTTTTCCTTATTTGGCCGCTTAGGTGGGTCTGTCCCACCAGCACCAGTAGGACCCCCAGTAGAGGTAGAGGCCGTTATCTTGACTTGACAGGTGGTAGCACCACCTAAAAAAGCACACAATAGCAGACCAGGCGGTCGCTAGGATGGCGCGGGCTACAACGCGATAGTTGCGTTCTTGTAAACCTCGTTTACATTCACCACCGGCAATTCAATCACCAAAACGCTTCTTGGAAACATTCTTCTTACCTTGTCTTTCCATATTCATCACTAACACAACAAAATTGGAGAAAACAGCGAAAATCATGGAGCAATCGACAGAAACCGCGCGATTCAACGAATCACATGATGTAAACAGAGAGCGCTGGTGTAAACCGTTATTAGTCCTTGCTGCGAAATATTCTTTTTATTTATTCTTTTCATACAGTATATATGGGTAACAGCTAAATTTGCGAAAAAAGAACGAAATATACAGAGTACCTCTCAAAATACACTTCTCAAACAAAAGACACGAATCAATTGAACATGTGATGTCGAATGTGAACTGTAAACATTGCATAATCCCGCGCCACGCTTAAAACATTGAGGATGGAACCGCGCTTTAGCCAACATTCATATACAAAAGTTCGCATTTTACAAACAGAGTTCCCCTATTCATCAATCGCGTTATAACCAACTCGCGTTGACAAAACACACGTTGTAGTAGATATGACTGTAACGCCATTCAAGACGGTGGCCAGCATTCAGCTTGCTGGATCTCGCATAATTCACGATATTTTACGCCGTATATAAGACTTGGTTACATTAGGTAGTGCTCGCGAAATTCAAAAACGCAAAATGAAATTGCGCGAAATATGAGATCTTACTGTAAATAGGTGTGTGTGTGTGTGTGTGTAAATAGATGTGTGTGTGTGTGTGTGTAAATAGATGTGTGTGTGTGTAAATAGATGTGTGTGTGTGTAAATAGATGTGTGTGTGTGTGTGTGTGTAAATAGATGTATGTGTGTGTGTGTATGTGTAAATAGATGTGTGCGTGTGTAAATAGATGTGTGTGTTTGTGTGTAAATAGATGTGTGTGTTTGTGTGTAAATAGATGTGTGTGTGTGTGTGTGTAAATAGATGTGTGTGTGTGTGTGTGTGTGTAATAATAATAAATAATAATAATAATAATTAACGGTTTATTGAAAAATTTCAGCAGCCCGAACGCTGAAAATATACAGTCAACCCTCACTTTACGCGGTTAATGTAACCCACAGGGTACCGCGGAAAGTGAGAAAAGGGTAAAGTGAATAACATAACATATGGGATTAAATGAAATAGAGACCAGCTGACCCCCAAACTCCACTTTTTCCAACACAATACCTATGTTCTAGTAAAAATAACATCTTAATTTTATGATGGTACATGCACACAATTAATACTTAAGAGAAATAGAGAAATACAGTCGCCAAGTTAATGTCCATTCAAATAATGGACTCAACTCCCTCCCCCTCTTCTCACACTACACTCCCTGGCTCTTCCCTCTCTGAGAAATTTTGGGGGGAAAACCAGGTATAGTAATAAATAATACCTCAAACTAAAGTTAGGATAATATAATTGACATGCTGGATTCCTTGTAAGACCAGGAATATTTTGAATACAAATGTCATATATTTTGCACAAAAGATAACATATTTACTCAGAGTAAACATTATATCTAAAATTTGTATGTCTAATGCAAAATCTATGATGTTTATATTCAAAATGATCATCAAATTGTAAGAATTCCAGCAATGTAAATTATATTCTGGCCGGGTAATTTGTATGAATTTTATGAGCTAAAACAAATATCTTCAGTTAATAATAATAAAAAATATTCTTCACACCCTGGTGCCAGGTGGTCGGTCACCGGTCCCTCCCTCCCTCCCACCCCCCACCAAGCCTCCCTACCAGATGAATGTGTGGGAATACCAGACTGTTTACCTTTTTAGTAATAAATAATAAATCAGACTAAAGTTAGGATAATATAATTGACATTGCTGGATTCCTTGTAAGACCAGGAATATTTTGAATATAAATGTCATATATTTTGCACAAAAGATAACATATTTACTCAGAGTAAACATTATATCTAAAATTTGTATGTCTAATGCAAAATCTATGATGTTTATATTCAAAATGATCATCAAATTGTAAGAATTCCAGCAATGTAAATTATATTCTGGCCGGATAATTTGTATGAATTTTATGAGCTAAATAAAAAAATTATACTTCACCAGTGTAAAGGGGTACACCCACCGCAGAATGTGAGCATCCTGGGTTCTGGCAGGGCACTGTGTAAACGTGGAAATGCGGAATGTGGGACCGCGTAAAGTGAGGGTTGACTGTACATTGGACCAAAATGACCTATTACATACAAAAACATGGGGTGGGTGGGTCGTTTAACGAAAGCTTTCATTACTGAAAGAAGAAGGAACAATGATTGAACATACAAATTATTATAGTTTACAGTTGATGGCCCGGGCTGGTCATGGAGACACAAGGTGGTGTGGTGTTCACGTGGTGCAGTAACTCGTCCTCGGGTGTTGAAATGAAGGACCTCACTTGGTCATGGGGACGCCGTGTGGTGTGGGGTGGTGTCACAGTATCTTGCCCTGCTGGGTGGTGTGTGCGTTATCTCGTAGTCAGGTGCATAGCCGGCCAGCCCTCTGTTGTTCCCATGGTGGACTGATTAGTACCTCCTGATCAGAAGATGGCGGTCAGTTCCCAGGGATGCTTATCCCACTGGTGGGTCACGGCTCTCACTGGTACTGTCTAGTGCTGAATTCACTGGCTTAAACAATGTTCATCATTGTTCAACACTGATCCCACTTCTTTCCAAAACGAAATTGCCACTTTTGATTATGTAGATATCCCGGTGGTGAGGCCGACTTGGGGAATGGGCCGAACATTGGCCAAGGGGGGCCGCTGCTCAGCAGGAGCAGTGCCTGAATAGGTCTCGACCCTACGGTAGTCAAGGATGTAGTGAGTGTGTGTGTGTGTGTGTGTGTGTGTGTTTCTAATCTCTCATGCTAGCCTTTTCCTTTCGCCTTCTACATTTCTCTTGTACCACTTTCCCTATTCTTGAGGTTTCTGTACCCTTGATTCATCCCATACAGAAGTGAAATAGTAAAGAAAATAGATAGATAGATAGATGGATAGATAGATAGATAGAAAGAAGATAGATATATACAGGCACAGGTAACATAAAATTCAGTTATTAGTTCATAACCCTCCCTAAACTTTAGTTGGGCTATTTTGAATTCTTACCACAAATGGACACATCATGATTGTACAGCTATAAATTCATAGACTTACTTCATGCTTACCATTTGGGAGATCTCGACAATGGAGAGCATCATCAATGTCGGTACACCCAATGGGATCAACAGAGCAGACATCTAAGTGCCGGAGATCTTCACGTTCAGCCTCATCCTGCATAGTTATGTAATGCTTTAAATAATTCACAATAAAATATAATAAAAGAATTAAAGAGCACATGTCCAGTACCTTACTTGTAGCTAATCATGCAAATAACCAATTAACAAAGGTAATATTTGATAAGTTAAGTAGCAGTTGAATATTTAAGGATTTATCTCTATCTCGCTTTTTTTTTTTTTGTATTCTCACTTTGGCATTGGGTAGCTAGAGCCAAGAGTGACACATACTCTCTCGTTCACTGTAATACTTTCCTTCTAGCTGCTGCAAGAATTGTGCTCTGCTAAGGCATTTCCCTTCCATAAGAATATTAAGAGTTTCATCTGGTTTGCTTCTGTTGCTTTTTACACAATGAGAGTCATTAAATATTTAGTTATACAGGTTGTACCTCTCTAGTCCGGCAACCTCGGGACCTGACCGGTGCCGGACCATGGAAATTGCCAGACCATGGAAATTCACCCTTTTCCTGGATAGATAGTGACTTGTGCTTATGCTTGGAAGCACTCGCACCACTTTCTCTGCATCATGGTCTCTTTGAAGACATATTGAAGGGTTAAATGTCGTATCGTAGCTTCTCAAATTTCGCGAGTTTTTAATTCAACGTATTTTATTGGTACACATACAAAAAAAATAATAAAAATTTTGACGGCGGAAACTTGAATTTCGACGGGTTTGAACGGCCCGCCAATGTGCAGACGACGTGCATAATCGTGTAAACAGCGTCATTTCTCTTATGTACAAAAGATTCATTATTGTTTATTACTGAATGTCTTTTTATTGAATTAATGTTTATGTGTGCAAAATGAGCAATGCAATTCATTAATAATACGTAGAATATTAAAACACACGAGGAAATGACACAGCATTGTTTTCGTTGATTACAAAACCAGTGACAACATACTCCCAAACGTAAAGCTGACCCACTTTTACAAACCGTCAAGGTATATATTGTAGCTCCTAGGTGGCATAATCAATGAGCCCCAGATTTAGAGAGGAAATATAGTCACACAAGAGATAAGTATGAAATAATTCTACTGACTCAGAATGTGATTGTTATAGCCCTCGCACTTCAAGTGAAGGTGGGAGGGTGAAAAGCAACTTACCTTTTTTGTGATTACCCAAGGCAACTTTGGAAGGCAGTTCAAGACAGACTCTGAGAACTTGGTGTATGGACAGTCATGTTCCAAAAGAATCACTTCATTCTCAGCCTCCTTCTCTCCAACAGTGCCAATCACACGAACAAAGTGCCCCTGAAAGAAATGTTGCATAGTACTAAAATACTGCTCTCAAGTCTCACTGTGACTGAAATTTTCAATATTCAGGTCAGTGTGGAAAAACAATAAGAGAAGGTATTATTCAATCAAATGTATTCATCAATGATCCTATTGAAAACATTTCCACAGAGGTTTATCACAAATGATTTAAAACTCAGGATTTATTCTGTTTACAAAATCTAATATTTACACACACAAACAGACTAACACACACTAAAACAATATTAGGTGTATTCTTGCCATATACAGCAGAATCCCGGTTATCCAGCACCTACGGAGATTGAGAGGCACTGGATAAAGAGATTTTCAAGTCAGTTGAACCTCACTCTTAGTGTATGATATGGACACAAAGTAGTACCTTCAGCTGTGTATTATTATATTACTCTTATATTACTCCATTAATTATGTATAGTAAAGTATTACAGAACATGTATTAATTCTATGTAATATTCCCATTTATTGTGCACCAGATTATGTATATAAATTACAGTGGGGTATGCTATAACGAATCTAATTGGTTCTAGAACCTTGTTCGTTATAGCATTCGTTTGTTATAGGATTAATCCGTTCCAGGCCCCCAAATACAACCACTTAACACTGAAAAATATAATATAAAATTGTAAAAATTGTAAAAAAGTGCATAAATATGCATCTAAACCCCTGAAATAAAGAATATCATTAATATTTGTAATAAAAAAACAATAAATTAGAAAAATAAATAAATAAATAAAATAAATTATGTTCGTTGTAGGAGTTTCGTTCGTTATAGCATTCTCAATTTTATAGGTAAAACCGTTCGTTATAGGAATATTCGTAGTAGGATCCGTTCGTTATAGCATACCCCACTGTATCATATTTATACTTTATGTATTCAGCTTGTGAATGCTGGCATCTGTACAGGCCAGCGCGCAGTAATACATAGATAGACAGAGTGAAGACAGAGTCCTTGTGGTGCGGATGCGAGCTTCTGGGTCCCCTTGTATATATATCTCCCGTACGAGAATAGAACCTACTTTTAAGATAACAAGTGTTTGTGTATACCTTCAGTAGTATAGAACATTTTGTGGGTATTCAAGACGAACGTCAGACTTAGGATCCCCAATAAATCCAACAATTCACAGTGTTACACACTGACCTCACAAATTCGTCTCAGAAAAACAGACTTCTTTAACACTTATTCCACTCTATATAAATAGTGCGGCTTAGAAATAAAGAAATTTTTATATAAAACTATAAAATAAGAAAAATATGCGAGTGTATGTTCAGGAAGTGTACATGTGTGGAGGCAGTGGGCTATAAATGCATGGTTGCATTCCCTCTTGATGTGACCTCATGGCATACACACAGTGCAGCACGACAGCTATATGTCTGTGAGTCAGCTGCTTGACTACCTTGGCTGAACTGTGTGGTCTTGCCCAGATGATGGTTGGAGTGTGGAAGGAGCTATTTTTTTACATAAAATATGTGCTATTGTATTTTATGATATGCTAAGTATCAATTTCATTGTTTATCGTAGCAATAAATATGGCAGCTGATCATCCCTGTTGCGCGTGGTATTCAAACTTACGATTCTAGCTTATTTTGGATCATCTTATATTTTTATTATTGGTTAGTTGAGTCTGCCAGTTATTTAGATAGCCTGATAACTGAGATTCTACTGTAGTAAGATTATTTCATGTTGGAACCAAAAACTGGATGCTTTAATAGTGCGATTCTTTGAAGAACCTCCTGACAAGATAGCAAAATTATCAAATTTTCCGGTTAGTCCAGAAGCAGAGTTGATTGACTTAAACCAAATGGTTATTTAAAATAAATAAATAAATAAAAATATAATGTAAATTAGAAAAACATTTGAAACTACAGTACTGTACTAATTAATCATTGCAATATAAGTAACACATAAAGAATGTGAATAAACATTGTTGTTAATTTTTTATTACAGAATTTATAGAATTTACTTACAAGTATTTATAATACAGCTATACTTTTTTATTTAACTTTATTCTGGTAAACAAACTCACGGGTAGAAGACATGCAGTGACAGTAATAGTGGTGCAGCTTATATTCGTTAAAATACAGTATACTGTATATGGATAAATGAATATGCCAAATAATGTGTTTTCTTATGGGAATAATAAGAAACAATCAATAAATGAAGACACACACAAGAACATAGGTTTTCACAGCCAGATTTGTAGTTTTACAGAACTTCACATTTCTAATTCAATCTTGAAGGTGACTTAGTTGTTTAAATATACAGTCAACCCTCGCTTTACGCGGTCCCACTTTACGCGTTTCCACGTTTACGCGGTACCCTGCCGAAACCGGAATGCTCACTTTCCGCGGTGTGTGTACCCTTTTGCGCGGAGAGCGGCGCGAGCAGGGTGCGCACAAGGTCGCCCAGTCATCAAAACATTACCGAGTTCTTCACCCGCCACCCACCACAGCCGGCCCAAGTCAGTGATAATGATAGTGAGGATATGGACTTATATGGACTTTGAGGGGTTTGACAAAGAGGCCCTGCAAGCCTCTGTGGTGGATAGTGATACAATTGATACAAGTGATACAGGTGAGGGCCAATAATCTGCCCTCTGCCTCGGAACCAACCCCCCATCCCCATGTGCCCAGCCATCTTTTCTACTACTGTAAGTGTTAAAAAACCTAATATTATTGATATTTCTCTTAATTATTAATTGTGTGTGCATACCATCATAAAATTAAGAAGTTATTTTTACTACAACGTAGGTATTGTGTCTGAAAAAGTGGAGTTTGGGGGTCGGCCCGGTCTCTATTTCAATTAATCCCATATGTTATGTTGTTCACTTAACTAGTTTCTCACTTTACGCGGGCCGCCGTGGGTTGAATTAACCGCGTAAAGTGAGGGTTCACTGTATAATGCAGTACTGTACTGTACTACAATACAATACAGTAGTTTGCTTCAATTACTTCATGTTACTGGTGCTACAGAAACTTATAGTAATGAAAAGGAACTTTTTTATCTGTTTATGTGTACAGGTATCTTGGACATTGACAAAAATTCAATTAAATCTGACAAATCAAAGAATTATGATTAAAAAAAATCTAAAATAAAAAATCAACAACCCTGAGGCAAATTAATCAAAATATAATCACATATTTAACATATTTATTAAAAACATCATGTATACTATCTTTCAGCTTCATAATAATGTCCAACACAATTTCCTTACCTTTGGGTTCCTTGAGTTTCTGGGCCAGCAATCAATAGCAACAATTATTCTCTTATTGTACAGCAGGTCAGGCTGCCTTGTCTCAATACGGATAAATGGGATCTTCTTATCAGCCGGGATGAACAAGTGTCGCAGTGACTGCAATGATCATGTTGGTATCAGGTGAGACTTACTCTTATTATCAAACACAGGTATCAAAATAACTGAAACAGTTTTCTAAATGAATTAGGCATATCAAATGTATATTGGAGAACGTTTCAGGAAAAGTCTTTCAAGATGTTTGGCACTATTTTTGGATTTAAAAAAGGATAAAATTAAACTCATAAGAATAAAAAATAATACAGATAATGGAGTCATGGATAAATAAGTATATGAACCATGGGTAGAGCCACCACACACTCCGGTTTATAAATTGCCAACATGTTCCCACTGGCCACTGAACACCATAAACCCTGATCATAGCTGTCATGATACCATTCATCTGTGTTGTCATGGTCACTATTTATTGAAAATAAAATAGTTTTTGGTTAGTCGTGTATTTCCTAACCCAGTGTAACACGAGATGAGGCACTTCGTAATAAAAGTCCTGCATGAAGCATGACATGTATATACTGTATTTGATACATCATAAGCTTCATTGTCTGGGTGTTGTTATAACTACCGTACTGAGAAGAGATAAAAAGTTACAGTTGTAGAAATGTGTTCCTACACCCCCTATGGTAACCTGTGTCTCCAAACGGCCAACCTAAATGACCTATAGCAAACCTATCCACCAATAATATCCGTCATTACGCAACCAATACCCATTCATTCATAAATAGTGATACAGTGATCCCTCGGTTAATGAACGCCTCGGTTAACGAACTGCCTTCCATAAGAATCTTCAATTTGGTTAACAAAAAAAATTCGGTTAACGAATTTCTTACGAACCGACCTCAACATGTTTTCGCTTGCACTGGCCGGGCAACCAGCTTTAGTATCAGTCCGCCAATACATTAATCGGTTCTGGGGCTTAAATTCCTTACTATTTTAGTAAATATCAAGAAGTTTATACTATTCAATACTTTTAAAAGTTTAATATTAACTTTTTTAGTCATTTTAACAATTATTGAACATAAATGAAGGTAAAGAAACTAGTTTCTGGCGTGCCATCCAGCCTGTTAACACACCAGACAGGCGTTAGTCTCTCTCTGTTTTCAGTGGAGGTAACATCTTGCTTGAGACTCTCTTCAACTAAACGCTTTTTTTCTGTGTTTCCAAGCAAATTATTGGTCATTTTGAAATATATTTTACATATTGACAATATATAATGCAGTGCAGTGATGATTTAAAGAAAATAATCTTGAAATACACCAAGAGAACTAAAATTTTATGGATGAAATGGTGCCATGGGGTGACTTCTCTTCCACCCCAATGCCTTTTCTTCTTCCTTCTCCTCCACCCCCATTCTAATTCCCATCATCATCATCATCATCATCAGGAGCCTTCTACATACACACCTCAAAGTAAGTGAACTTTTCTACCATTTTTGTTGAATTTAGGAAATTTTCGGTGAGCTGGAACCAATTACCCAAAAACCCATTGAAACAATGGTTTCGGTTAACGAACAACCTGCTGGAACGGATTGAGTTCGTTAACCGAGGGACCACTGTACTACTATGCAATGCGATGCTGTCGTTTGGAGACATGGATTACCACAGGGGGTGTAGGTACACATTTCTGCAACTGTACCAAAGTGGTCAAGCCAAGACATAATTGATAAAATAAAAGACAGAATTCTTACTTCAGTAATTTCATTTTTTTTAATGATGCCACAGTATTGTCTCCATTTGCGCCTGATAATGCCAACAACACATCCAGTTGGCTGACGCTCTCCTTCTCCACGCCCAGAAGCTAACAGATCTTGTTCTTCTTTAAGGGTTGTTTCATCAGCATCATCTTCACAATCTCCTGATTATATTCATATCATGTTAGTTTATCTAACTTACCATCAACATACAATACAGTACTCTCAAATTTCTTCTTCCCAAACAACAGGTATAATTATCTCACTTCTAAATTGCCAAATATTTCTGTTAAATAATGGCTTTTAAGCCAGTAAAATAAAATTTGTAGCAATAACTATCAACTTTCATCATCTAATGACTAAAGGAAATGTTATACACATTACAGTATATGATTGGAGCTACAATTTCATATTACATTGCAGAGAAAATAAAAGCAATGTTTTGTGAGTACAGTAGAAGCAAATATTACTGTCATTATCTACAAAGATAAATGCAAGACACAACTGGACAATACTGACCTAGTGACGTCAGACTGGTCAACAACAACTCTTCATCTTGTTCAAAAATAAATGAGCTAATTAATGACTTACCTCCTTTTTCCTCTTCTTGTTTTTCTTGGTCAATTACAACCGTTGAGGGAGCTGACCACTGTTCCTCAGGAAATATTTCAATTGCCACGGTATCGTCATGTAACGCACGGTTCAGGTTGAGGCGTCCTTGGATCAGTACTGATTTCTCGTAGCCATCCAACATCACGTTGGCTTCAAGGAAGTTATTGCGTGATGTCTTCAATGGTCCTTGACGAATTTTACCACTCTATTGAAGGAAATTATATTATCAACAGCAATTCTACTCTTACCCTGAAGAGATTAAAGTAGTGGATACTAAAATACAATATACCCCTGTAATTTTTATATGTACAGTATACAAATAATGTAGCTGAAAGTGATTCATTCATATAGAAGTCAAGTTACTTATGATGGAAAAAAAATCCATGAAACCATCTTTGTGGCAAAACTTAAATTATTCAAGTAGATGTACTGTTCCAAGCATATAGTCATTGGAGTGTGTGTACTAGTATATGTGTGAGATGGTGTAGCCTATGTGTGTTAATTCCTGTTCTGTACATTTCAGGTATTGGTGCCTTTTGTATTGAGACAATAAACACCAACAAAATCAAACAGTATATTACTGACCGACGGTGCATACAGTAAATTGGCGACGAGGATCAAGCACATACATCTATTCACAACATGACCACTGCTATACCAACGCTACAACCTCTAGAGCTAGAGGAGACTGACCAAACACACACATGGACTGACTGGATAGAGCATGCTGAAGATGCCTTCATTGCATTCAACATAACTGAAGATGCCACAAGACTAGCACTCATCAGATTGTATGGAGGAAAGAATCTGAAGGAAATCATGAAGACATTGCGTCCAGCGATACCGACAACCAAACAGAGCCAACGTACAAAACAATGAGAATAGCACTTGATGAATACTTCAGTGATAAAACAAACGAAGTATTTGAACGACACAAGTTCCAGATGCTGGCGCAGGTCGGGGAAAGTACACACAACTACGTAACCCGCCTACGTACACAAGGGGCCAAGTGCAACTTCGACAACTACAACCTTGACCAAGCCATCAACTATGTGGTTGCCAACGGGATCCCGAAAGCTATGACACTGTCTGAAATTCTCGAAGAATCAGGGAAGGATCCGACTATAAGAGCCCTCGAAGACGCCATCGCCAAGAATGACTGGACGGATAAACTAACGGAGCCTTTCAAACACGTACGTGGAGAACTGACATCAAAACGGGGACTCGTGTTGAGGGGATCCCAGATCGTTATGCCCCAAACACTACAACGACGCACGATGCAACTCGCACATGAGACACACCTGGGAATGGTCAAGACCAAGGCGCTGCTCCGAGGCAAGGTATGGTGGCCAACTATCAACAAGGATGTGGAGAAGGCAATCAGACAATGCATCCCATGTGCAAGCCTCGACACAAGAAAACAAGCCAATCCGGTGAATATGTCTGAGATGAAGGGGCCGTGGGAGGTAATCCACGTGGACGCATGTGGACCGTTCCCTAGTGGTGACTATGTGCTGGGAATCATCGATGCAGGATCCCGGTGGCCAGAAGCCTTTGTGGTCAAGACTATCAACACCGATACCGTTACGACTCTAATCGAAGGATGCATCACTACACACCGCATCCCAGCGGTCATCGTGTCAGATAACGGACCACAGTTCAGAGCCAAGGAGTTTGCACAGTTCTGTGAAGAATGGGGAATAAAACACAACAAAGTGACACCATATCATCCCCAAGCAAATGGGGAAATCGAACGGTTCTTCGCGACCATGTCGAAAGCACTCCCAGCGATGCATACTGAGGGGAAAGATTGGAGACGGCAACTCGGTAAATTGTTGATGCACTACAGGAACACCCCACACTCGATGACGGGAGAGACGCCAGCCAAACTCCTCATGGGAAGGAACATCAAGGTGAAACTCCCCCAAGTGAGTCATGACTTGGAAGACACACAAGTGACATGTTGGGATGTGGCACACAAGAGAGATAAAAGAGAAAAGGAGAAACTGAAACTCCGGACAGACAACCGGAATAAGTCCAAACTAGCGAAGTTGAGACCAACTGATCAAGTGCTCCTGAAGCAAACCAAGAAAGACAAGCTCTCAAATAATTACGATCCTAAACCGTGGACGGTAAGTGAAAGGCGAGGCGACTCAGCTATTCTACAATGAGGACCCAAGAAGATATTACACAGCACATCCCAGATGAGAAGAGTTCCAGGGAGATGCCAAGGAGGAAATGACGGCAGTGGAGACAGTGACACAGACGGAAGCCACAAAACAGCCGAGAGAACCGACAACACCCATCGAAACCAGGAAAACAACCAAGCCGCCAACACGCCGAGGACAGGGATGGACGAGTCCAGGCAGGACGGGAACAGCGAGGAGGAACTACTCGCTGCTAGGCGACCACGTCGTACTATAGTAAAACCGAAGAAATACCAGGATGGAGCTAAAGACTTCGGAACGGATGGAAGTGAAAGCTCTGGAACGGATGAAGCTGATGACTCCGAAATGGATGGAGAGACAAGCGACGAATATAAACCCGGCCGTTCATGGAACTAAAGAGAACGGCAATACAGAACTATCATCATGAATAAAAGGGAGGGGAAGATGTACTGTTCCAAGCGTATAGTCATTGGAGTGTGTGTACTAGTACAGTATATGTGTGAGATGGTGTAGCCTATGTGTGTTAATTCCTGTTCTGTACATTTCAGGTATTGGTGCCTTCTGTATTGAGACAATAAACACCAACAAAGTCAAACAGTATATTACTGACCGACGGTGCATACAGTAAAGTAGCTTACCGTATATATGAGCATGATATAATCTGATAATTTAAGACCCTTTCTTCAGCACATGTAAGAATATGTTAGACTGCACTGTACAGGTATCCCTCAATTAGCATTAATTCACTTAAAGTTTAATTCACTTTAGCAATAAGAAATTGTTGACACCCTTTCTCACTTAACGTAAAGTCAAAATTCGGTTTAGCAATAGATTGACTCACTGAGAAGGGGGAAAACTGGGTATGAGGTGGCTACACATTGCCATTGTTATTATGTAATGAGACTACAGTGATCCCTCGGTTAACGAGATTTCGGTTAACGAGTTACCTTCCATAAGATTCTTAACTTCGGTTAACGAGCAAGCCCCCAATTAACGAGTTTTTACGAGCCGACTTCAACATGTTTTCGCTTGCATTTGGCGGTCCACCAGCAGTAGTATTAGTCCGCCAATACAGTAATCGGTTTTAGGGCTTAAATTCCTTACTATTTTAGTAAATATCAAGAAGTTTATACTATTCAATAATTTAAAAAAATTAATATTAAATTTTTTAGTCATTTTAACAATTATTGAACATAATTCAAGGTAAGGAAACTAGTTTCATGTGCGCCATCCAGCCTGGCAACACACCAAACAGGTGCCAGTCTCTCTGTCTTTTCAGTGGAGGTAACATCTTGCTTGAGACTCTCTTTAACTAAATGCTTTTTTCTGTGTTTGCAAGCAAATTATTGGTCATTTTGAAATTTATTTTACATATTGACAATATATAATGCAGTGCAGTGTTGATTGAAAGAAAATAATCTTGAATTACACCAAGAGAACTAAAATTTTATGGGTGAAATGGAGCCATGGGGTGACTTCTCTTCCACCCCAATGCCTTCTCTTCTCCCTTCTCCTCCACCCCCATTCTAATTCCCATCATCATCATCATCATCCAGGAGCCTTCTACATACACACCTCAAAGTAAATGTACTTTACTACCATTTTTGTTGAATTTAGGCAATTTTCAGTGAGCTGGAACCAATTACCTAAAAACCCATTGAAACAATGGTTTCGGTTAACGAGTTTTTCGGTTAACGAGCAACTTGCTGGAACAGATTGTGCTCGTTAACCGAGGGACCACTGTACAAAAGCTGTGGAAAAATCATTATAATACTCTAATGTGGTTTAGAAATAAATAAAATAATATACATTACTGTAAAACTATAAAATAAGACAAATGAAGAGCATTGGTATGTATGTGTGGGAAGAGAACGTGTGTGGAGACAGTGGGCTGTAACTGCATCGTCAGCCCTGCCGCGTTCCCTCCCCCAGTATGATGTCATAGCAGCAGGAGCCACATGTCTCTGAGTCAGCTGGGTGTCTGCTTGCTGAAATATGTCATGTCATGTCGCCCTGCCATCTGAACCTACTGTTCGTCCTCTATGCTTTCCTGTTATCCTTCATTTTGTGATAATTTTGCTTAATATTAAGATTTTCAGGAACGCAACCCCATCATTAAATGGGGGATACCTGTACAGTATTCTGAAAACCTTTAAGTTAGGTTTATAGATCAATAATGTGACTATAATAGCAATTTGTCACACAAATCCTTCCATATTAGGGTTCATTATTAATCTTTAATTAGAGTTCAGAAACGATTCCTGTGTGAGGCACAATATCAGAATGAATTATTTATTACAGTACCTTTAGTCCACTGCGTATTTTCTCTACAGACCAGTGTGGTGTGTACAGGTAACGGTCACTACCCTCATCCTCTTTTTCTTCTTCCACCTTAGCTACAATATCCAACAGGCCAGGCCTCTCCTTCAGGCTGGACACATATTCATACACTGAAATACATTAAATATATTAATATATAAACTTTAAATAAATCAACTACTGTAGTCTACATACAGTACTACAGCAACACATGAACTTTCTTTTTCTTTTCACTATTCCAACTCTTTTCCCACTCTAATGCATAGTGGATGTAGTGAAACACAAACACACAGACTCTCCCTCTAATCACTATCATTCAGTCAATCTTACTGCTATAATGGATGAGTTCTGCTAAAACAAAAACCCCAAATATCTACCACTACTGAATCTGGTTTACCTGTGTTATTTCCAACAATATATATTATAATTTATGTAACATACAAGATTAACATAAACCTAGAAAACCTAAGCATAGTATTTACAAAGCACACTTGAAGTTTAATATTCTAATGCTAACAGTGACTTTGTGTATTGAATACCACTATGAATTATAAAATAAATATGAGAGATGTAACAAAATGGAAGAAAAAGAAGTTCATATAACCTGAACATTTACTCATCCTTGTGTATTAAGGTGACAAAATTACAAGCTATACCCATACCATTTACAAAAATAATTCTAATATTAAACTTTTGTCTCGTAGGTTGTGAGTATACCTGTACTGCACAGCAACTGTATTAGCCATTTAAAAAAGTGTAAGACAATTCTGCCAGTTTTTATTTTAGAAACAGTGACTCTAAAATGCACTTGCACATCTTGGAGTGTTAATGAAGATTTTCATCAAATTTTTATGAAAGTTATCCACCCAAAATTTTAAGACAAGTTGTACTGACACACATTCGTCTATTATTGCTGCCCCTCGCCCCAACATACACAAACCATTTTAGTCACTTATAATAAAATTACTAAACCTGTAAGCCTTCATACTTGTGTAAGATTCAAGTTCCATCTCCCGAGCCTTATCCCGATTAGCGAAGTCATTTGTGATGAGGATGACATTTTGGTGACTCTCTCGGAAGTGCTGCTTGTACCACCAACATGCCACTCTGATGGCTCTGTCATTCCTATCATTTGATGATTCCTTTTCTTCCCTCTCTATATAACACTCACTGTAAGGAACATAAGCAAAGGGTAGGAGTAAATTATCCTCATTAGTATTTTATGACACCATTTGTTGGTTAAAACCAGAACAGCATCACCCCCCCCACCCCAGTAACCACTGAAACCCCAGGTATTGGCACATTGTCTAATTGCAACTGCCCAGAATATGCAGCAGAGACCAGAGGATGGCCACAACTCTGATGACCCAGTTACCATCAGACATGTTAAAGCAAAGTTTTATGACTAGATGCCCTTCATAACACCAACCCGCAGGGTGGGAACAGCTGGCAAAGCAAGGTCACAACTCTCTGAGGTAATCAGACACTACAATTCACATTTTAATACTGTAGTTTATATATACTGTATATATACACCACCTCCCAGTGAATTCTGGGGGGTGGTAAAGTATCTGTCATCAAAAATCTACTTAAAGAACTAATTTTTTTTTATTAAGATTTCAGCATTCTAAATTCCTGTTCTGTGATCATGAAGCTTGACACCCTTATGAGCTATACACATCATAAATTCCCTCCACTATGTTGCTGACATTTGACCCACAACCAAGCTGGGTCAAGCATCAGTCATAAGGAATCTTGGTTACTGTAAGACGGGTTCTGTATTCCTTGTTTAATGTTGATATCAATGGTCCTCACAATGTTCTCTACCAAATACAAAAGTGATTGTCTGAGTACTGTACCAGTGCTAAAAGTAAATGTAAAGTTCTAAGTACTGTATAAAACAAAAGGTGGAAATTCTGCAAATACCGTAGTGGACCAAGGACAATTAGAGAAATAAGTGAATGACTAGTACTGTATGGCTGAAAAATCATGAAAAATCAGATTGAAAAATTATTGAAATCTTATGCTGATGGTCAGTCACAGGAATCCAAGGCTCAAAGAAAAAACCTCAGTGAACTTCAGTGTGCCAGCCTGGATAAAGTGCTATATGAATGACACAAGCAATAAAGGAATAGCCATTTGGACTGATGTTTTGTAATATACTTGAGTTGAGGAGTTTCATCAGGAACCAAATTTTCCAAACTTTTCTTCACGTCCAATTCCAAACTTTCCCTTACAACTCTACACCCTTATTGTATATAGTAACTGGAATGTGAAATGAAATAAAATATAATATATTTCCTTGACTTAATTTTCTACATACTGCATGAAAAAAGAAACTTGTTGAGGGACTGTGTAGGTGGTGGTGCGAGTGACTACTTGTCCTCATGTGAATTTGAGGAGTAAGATATATGGTGATTGTAGGAGAATGATGCCACACTGAAAGATTATCTGTAGATTTGATAACCTTGTAAGTGTTGGAGAATGATTAAATAGTTTAGTATTCTACAATTATTTGCCAAAACAAAGAAGTCTGATTTTATTGCATATCGTATTTTCCAAGAACAGATGATCATGATAACAATGACTTTATACAACTACTATCCACTTTATGGAGGCCTTTGGTTGACAGATACTTTACTTTAATATGATTTTGAGTTTCAGAAATACATCCCTTGTAAGGTAAGTTTAATTAATGAGAATTTGAAGTACAGTACACAAGGATTTCCAAGAATATAAACTCCACATTCATGAGCTTACAAAGGGCCCTACACAATAGTTGAACTGCAAATATCCAAGTAATACAGTACACCATATTTAAACTTGATGAAAATGTAGAACCAGAAAATTACTACAAACAAGTTCACTTGTGAAATTCATACCTGTGATGCTCATTTATGAACACATGAAACTTTTTTGAGGGTGTTTCAATAAGGTCCCGCAGTCGTTTATATATAGGGAGTGAGCGGTGCCTTACTTCTCCTATGACAGTTTGGGGAATAATAACATTGGTAACACTGTCATCACACAATACATCAATCTGAAAATTATAAATAACTAGTCTGAGTTTTATTTGATTAAAAGGCATGCATATACAATACAGCACGCCTGGATAATTCGCGGATTTTTATTTCAGGGTCCTCTATTATTCGCGGATGACACCCTGGATGTACCCAAGAATGTCTGTGGATAGTTTTAAAGTTGCTGGCATTTTCGCGGCTGGAACAGGAAGCAATTCGTTCTAGAGACAGTAATTTACTTTATCTGTACAGTATTGTATATATGTGTGTGTGTGTGTGTCTGTAGACACACACACACACACACATACTGTATATACAATACAGGAAAAAGAAATAATTGTCCTAAGGGCAAACACATAAAGGAAATATATATTTCTTTGTACACAAGTAAAAATGTAACCCCCCTCCCCTCTCCTGGTCAGCAAATGTTATTCGCGGATTTGGCAATTCACGGCCATTTTGAGAACCTAACCCCCGCGAATTTGAAGGGCATGCTGTACACTACATATACTGTATTCTGTACATAAACTTTTTTAATACAATACAATATAAACTTATTATACATAAAATTATATAAAATAATTTACATTACATTACACACACCTAAAAAAATGCAGAGAAATATGGCTACAAATACGGAGGACAACATCTGCCTTCAATGTTTAGTACATTACTTAAGACTCTGTAATATCATGGATACATTCACCCATCTACAGTTCTTACCAGATACATGTACTGTGGTGAGGACAAGGTTAATCACTATGGAGCAGTGATCCTGAAACCCTTTTTTGGGGGGGGGAGCCTAAGGCCACCTGGCTATCGCAGGGCCGGATCCAGGAATATCAAAAGGAGGGTCCAAGAAGTTGTGGGTGGGGGAACATGGCAAGCACAGTGAGCCCACCCAGCTGGGGAGTTTTATGGGCTGCTGTAAACCTCCCAGGAAAAGTTTTTAAATCTGACCAATATCATGGACATTTTGAGGCCATTTTGAAGTCATGTGCACTTGATATTAGGAAATAATCTGAGGTCAATAGTATTTACTTTTTACTGTACAAAAATGCCTGAGTACAATACTGCATTAATGAAAAGGTATTGGAATTCTCTAATGAAAAGGGTGGGGTCCAAACTCACAGGAACCCCCCCCCCCCCGGATCCGCCCCTGTATAGTAATGTGGGGCAACTTAATCAGGGGTAGCTATATAAAGGGGTAAAATTTGAGGGTTGGTGGGCCTATATTACAAGAGAACAACAATCATAATATCTGTATACAGGATCCAAACACCCTTCAACACAGCAAATTCTTACAAAACACTAAACAGTTCACATCTCAAATTGTTTATTTCTATGCACCTGATGGAGAGCCACGTTGGTGTCAATGATGATGTGGTGAGGCAGCGCTACGAGGGAGCTGTCGTTGCTGGTGATCACATCCAGAGTGGGTTCCTCTATCTTGCAAATACCGCATCCATCCAACCCACACCAAATATCATCTCGCAAGTAGTGTTCTCGAACAATCTATAAGACCAATTAAGAAAATATTTTGAATAAAGTGAGATTATAAAAACTATTAGGTAATTACTGAAATGAACTTGAACAATCTACTATAAGAATTATTAATGACATGGTCTTAAAGAGCCTAAGAAAATAGCATTTCTTCACATAAACCTGAATAACACATAAATTAATTTCACAGTCCCAAACAACTTACCATATACTGTATATATAATAACACAATAGTTACTGTACTGTTGGGTCTGTTTTCATCAGAACCTAAACATTTTAGGAATAACTGAAAACTTAATTAACGCAACCACACAACAATATTGGAATAATAGTAAGGTTTGATTACCTTATTTTAAGGCTGGAATTTGAATAAGCTAAAAATACACAATTGCTCAACAGTATATACAGTACTGTACTGTATATGCCACAATACAGAATACTCTACTGTACCTAAATTGTAATACTCATTCCCAATCTGGGAAGGGAACTGAAAATCTGCATAACAATAGTTCTCAAGCAATACTGTATAGTATAACATCAGCACAGTACAGCTGCTCACCTGGGTTTGATAAAACCTTATGTTGTAAAAAATAAATAAATAAATATACAGTAATACAGTTATATCTACGTTAGCCAGAATCCCTCAAACCCAGAACTGTCCAAAAGCTGGAATTGAAATTTTCTCTGAAAATCATTCCCAAAGTAGGAATTTTTCGGAAAATTCCAGCTTTGGGAAAAATTTTCCGAGGGGCACATTTTCTGGAAAATTCTGAGAAAATTTTCCCGGTACCCAGAAAATTCCAGGGATGGGGGATTTTTATTCCAGTTTTGAGAGATGAAAATTGGGCATTTTCTGGAAATTCAAAGAAAATTTTTCCGGTACCGGGAAAATCCCGGAGATGGGGGGGATATTTTTCCGGGTTCGAGAGATAATGTAATGTGCAATTTCTGGAATTTAAGAGAATATTTTTCAGTTACTCAGAAAATTCCTGAGATGAGGGATTTTTTCTGGCTTTGAGAGTCGTCTTGTTACCCAGAAATCTCTTATTCCCTGGAGTGCTCTGCACCAAATGTTCTGGCTAACGGAGATATCACTACAGTAATGTTAAAAAAAAAAAAAAAAAGACAGCTTGGAAATACTGTAGGAAAGAAAATAGGTCTGGGTTAACCAGCTACCTAAGAAAAAATATCAAGAATAAAACATACAGTATAGGGACGACCAGGCATGGGCAACCTGCGGCCCGGACCATGTGTTTGTGCGGCCAGTGGAGTGATCAAGAAATTCTATTTAATGTGGCCCGTGGTTCGGGTAGAGGCAGCCAGTTTATGGTGTGTAAAGCAATATTTATTAAAAGAATAATCTTCACACACAATTTGCTACTGTTTCATCACTTAAGAGTAAGTAACTTCAAAAATATTACAGTGAAATAAGTATATTTAGTCAACAATATAAACATTTTAACTTGTGTGAGTTTATGGGCCAAGTTCGGCGCAGTCTGTTTGGTGGATTAGCTGCTATGTGGCAGTGGGTCACTTGGGAATTAACTAAGATTAGGTAAGTCCAAGTGGGGTCATGGGCAGTAGTCACACAGGGTTTAACTAATTAAGTATACTTCCAGAATAACACAAAAATACCTAAATCGCACCTCAGAAACCCATAGTTGGCGAGTAATTAGCACCGAAATACTGTACAGTATAGTAATGTAATTAAATTTATCCGAGCATCATTACGACCACTAATTACCCAGTGATTGAATCGTGGACCATAGATTCGGAATCAGCATACTCAGGAGTATATACCTGTACCTATATACAGTACTGAGATTTTCAACAAAATCTAATTTTGGGTCGAAACCGCCAATATATATGTACAGCACAGTATATATAAAGAGAGAGAGAAGAGAGAGATGTAGTTTCTCATATGCCAAGATTAACAGTGGCATTATCCTGGTGAGCGTCTCGTAAGAAAAATGCTGTAACTATAGGAAAAATCAACCTATTCACAGAATGCTAAACTCATACAGCATTGCTTTAAAAATTATTGTGATGGATTTGCTTCATAAATCGGAAAAAGACTATGATTGTAAACTGAAAATATCGTAAGGTGGAAGTGACAATAAACTGCTTCACTGTCCATGCTAATACAGTACTATATTAACATTACTTTTGGGTTCGGTAGGATATAAATTTGGGTGGGTAGGCACGCAGAAAAATACGTAAATTGTAATGCGGCCCATGACTGAGGAAAGGTTTCCCATGCCTGGAGTACGGGGAATAGCACTTTTTTGTATGAAGCTTTCACCCTAATTTGTCTCGTAAATAAAGATACTGTATTCTGTACTCTATGCTACCTGCCAGATGACAATGCCATGTTTATTGCACTTCAGCTGTTGATGTGAGCAGGAGGAATGTTTCATAGACACTAATGCTACAGTGCAGGTATTCCATTTCACACTCACTAAGAAATAACAGCAGCAACTTTAGAAAATTTCTGTACAGACGATGCTTTTAAATACCTGTAATTCTTTCTTACATTAAGAAGGATATCGCAAAATAGGACAAATATGATAAGCATTTTCGTAACAATTTAAGTTTGGCATCACACATGAACATGCTTCTTAAGCATCTACAGCGCATGTGCGGGGGTGGTGTGTGAGTTTCTTATTGGCTATAGCAATAGGAGACTTATTATTGGACAAGAGTTTTTTGTCTTAGCCAATGAACAATGAGTGGGAGCGTCGGGAGCGGAGATTTGAATTTTCAGTATCAGATATCGCTGAACAGGTTGAAGAGCTGTGCCGACATTGTGGTAAGGAGCACTGGCTGAGGGGGGGGGGGGTCAGTCCTTCTCCGCCAGAGGTAAACAAATCATGGCGACACTTGTGACTGAGGAAATTTAATAATATTGAAAAATTAATATCTCAGTTATCCTTAATTTCCGGCAGAAATATCATAGAAGACAAATGTCTTAGAATTGTCTAAACATTACAAAATACATATTAAAAACAGCGAGAGAAACACCGGTGTATTAATATAAATTGACCTTTTTTTTTCCTGTTTTTAGTGCGATTCATTTGAATGTAACATCCATTTCTGTCAGAAATCAATCATTTCTGAGTTATGCCCCCTAACCTAACCTAATCTAACCAAGTCTAACCTAACCAAACCTAATCGAGAAATAACCATTGTCCTGCCTACCGTTTACTCTGATGAAAGCCCGGACTGAGGTTGAGGATCGTGTTCATATTTAGAGGCAGGGATAATAGGTAGCTGTCGTACTCGGTCACCTTCCAAAATAATTGCTTTACAAAATCAATAATTCAAAGAGTAATTTCAGACGGATGTTTACAGAATAAAAGTTGCTTAGAATTGCATAAAGTAAGTGTTAGGGCCATTAGTATTGTTGTGCGTGACTTGGGTGTTAATGTGGAAAAATACAATTTTTCTTCTTTTGTCTTGGTGGGTTAGACCAGGAGTTCTCAACTATTTTTTATATTTTTGCATTTACACACCGCACATTCCTACCACTAATCTATTATCATATCCTAATAAGACGTCTAATTATAAAATAATTTTCATCTATAACATTACCGGCGGAAATGTATAACGGAGATAGCATATCCAAAATTTTCTCTTATTTTCTTCCATTAATCTTCCTCCATTATCGCCTGCCTAACCTCCAACACTGCATGTCTCCTGCGTCTCCTTCATAAATCATCATGTGCATGCGTTCCCGTACACGGCAAGCGGCCAATCAAAAGCGTTTTTGTATTTGCAACCAACTAAAATGATTTTGGGTTTAATTCGAGGTATATTAATAAAATTTGAGTTATTTTTTGGGTCTCTCATATTTCGAAATTTAAGTTCAGTTCCGACCATGGAAGTCTGCGATGGATGTCACTTAAATTATATGGAGCTGATTGCGAGTTTTGGGGAAAAAAACGAAGAAACTATAGCATTTTTTCAATCGCATGGTGTTCTTCCAACCTCAGTAACGTGTACTAAGAGCAAGACTGAATGTAAATATCGCAAAGACCAACATATGTGACGTTGTGTAAGAATCCCAGAATCCAACGACGAACAAGAACTAGGCCAATAAGGTAAGAAATAGGTGATTCCATCATATGGTGAGAGTCAGTTAGGTTAAGTTAGGTTTTTGTTTTTCTAGTGTTTTTTTTGGTGTATTTTTTTGGAAAACGTCCAAAGAAAAAAATTCGATAAAAAAACCGGCTAATTTCCACGAGAAATGAAGGTCATATTCGGTCTAAACACACACAATTACACTAGAAAAATATATTTTTTGCTTTCTAACAGAGTGCAGTGTGACAGTGCAAATATACCCTATTTTCAACCAAACACCCCTTATATACCATGATGCAAACAAATATTCTCATTAATCAAAGAATAAATCACAGTCCAAAGCATTTGTTCATTTCAACCCAAATCCAAAATATCCTGTGAATTGGGATCCCCATATCTCTCGCAAACCTTAAACACACTATTTCTCAAAATCTTTTCGCGAACCCCAGTTTGAGAATCACTGGGGTTAGACAGTTAACACACTGGGAGCTTAGGTCAGGTGCTTTTGGTTTCTCTGGTTAGGTTAAGTTGCCCACATATAAGTAGTTTGATTTAGTTTCGTCATTTTTTGTGATTATAACCACAATTTCCATATAATTCAATGCCTTGCCTATTTATTGCCATCACAATTTCCAACAATGCTTGAGAAAAATTATCCTATTTTTTTGCTCTTTTCCTGTACGACTCAATATAAGGCTCCGTTAACATTGACTATGGAATAATTACCAACTCACCTTGATGATGTTACCCTTTTTAGTCTTCCTGTAGAACACTTTTTGTCTTCTCTCTAATATCCCCATCTTGTGTTGTGTTGCTTCACGTGTTGACTCTGGCCACTGTTTACGGCGGCCAGGCTCACAAACCTAACATCACACCCACATTAAGTATTATAATGTATTATTCTATCAATACAGTCAGTTGGAAAATTTTTTGATATAACATAATAATACTCGATATATTTTTTATATTTTTATGGTAAGTAATTATTTCATATATATTATTTTGTTGATGTATACTAATAGCCTTTAATGTTGGTACACCTGGAAGCTGTGGACCCAGCCCAGAGTTGCCAACTTGTAGCTGATCTAGAGCTTTTTGTTTTTTTCTAGCGATATTTTAGAGCGATTTGCGACTTGTCCCAAATCTAGAGATATCCACAGAAATCTAGCGACTTTCTGGATACTTTTGGACTGTCCATGAAAACTCGGTTTTCCTAATTTCGAGCCATAATATATAGCAACGGGGTTACAGGGACAATACATTTGAACGGGTTGAACTCATAAAACAACTTCGTCAACACTTACCTGACAACATTCGTGTGCTGCAGTCTATTTCTTTTCTGAGTGCCGATGAATGCTTGAAGCCTATTAAATCAGATATACTTGGTTTGGCACACTTATTTACAGAAGATTCCAGCACCCTTACCAAGATTGATTTCCAGTGGAAAAACTGCATCACACAATCTGGACAGAAACATCTAACACCCTAAAATTGTGGTCAGAAGTGGCAAATTACAGAGATGCGACAGGTGAAAACCCTTACCATGATCTGGCTGAAATTGCACTCGCTGCCTTATCTCTTCCGCATTCAAACGCAGATGTAGAGCGCACATTTAGTAATATGAACTTTGTGAAATCAAAATTGCGCAACAAAATGAAACTATCGACATTAAAGGCAATTCTTACAATAAAGTATGGGTTAAAAAGACAGAACATCTGTTGTGCAAGTTAAGAAAGATAGGGACTGTGGAGGCATACAGTTACAAGAGAACCTGAACCAAGCACTTCACATGCTTCCAGCTCTACAGTTGTTCACACTACGAAGAGGACTGGGATGCAATTACTATTGAATAATAGGTAAGTGTGCACATTAAACTTTAAAAAAAAAAAAAAATTTATTTTTACATAATGCATTTTATTTATACTGAAGGGGGGGAATAATAGCTAGCGACTTTCCATGGAAGATTTAGCGACATTTAGCTACTTTTAGGTACCAGCCTAGCGACATTTGAAAATCCGAGTTGGCAACCCTGCCAGCCACCCAAAGATCTTCGAGTTAAGTCTTGCAGAGTTGAAGGGCCGTTAAGTCACCTACTCCTGTAGTTATTAAACCAACTAATAATGTAACGTATATCTGTTGTGTCAGAATGTAGCATAAATTGTTTATCTATTTGCATGAGGTAAAATAATGTGTTCCTGTATTATTTTGGATAAAAATGTCTTTAAATTTTGTGTTATATTCCTATCGTAGATGTATATACTGTATAGGTATACTTTATAAGTGCTGTTGTAATATTAGAGTTCTCCTATGTGAGTAAAGTTTTAAAGGGAAAGGAAGCTGTGGAACTTCCATGAGCAAAATCACTTTTAAAACTAAAGTACTGTTTATAACACATGAAACAGAGCAGACCAAACCCCAAATGAACTTCGGGTGATTTAGCTAGAATGGACCACTGATTGCTCATAGCTACTTGATGAGAGTGAACTTGATGCTGAGATGATTAGGTTTGATAGGTTAGTTTTCCTAATTTTATGAACTTTTGGTGATTTAGGTTGTAAAAAGTTATATAATGCAAACTTCATTCATTGTGCACTTTTTGTAATTTTCTTGAGAAAAAGCAAAAGCTGGAACACTCGTTAAGCACAGTATTACCAAAATGCCAAACAGTGCACTAGGAATAAGTTTCTCGTAATATTAGTTTTATGATTTTTCTTCCTGAACACAAATATAAAGCCTGTCGTCAATATCAACACTGCTCCACCACTGTCGCAAAAAAATTAATTGATTCCTTTCATAGAAGATAACTATGTACTGTAATCTTGTACAGGGGTATTTAACATTTTGTACTGGTATGTTAAGTTTGGTCTGGTAGGTTACACTGGTTCGTCTTATTAACAAATATACCCATACTTGGTGACATTTGTGCCAGATAGATATAAACAATAAGCGTGGCTGGCACAGATGTCTTGACAAGAATTTTTTAATATAAATTAGAGGAAAGTATTCCTTATTGCATTTTTTTATAATTTTTACTAGGTAAGAAAGCATTTATCTTAAACAATATGATGTAAGAAGGTTTCATGCATAATTAAGTTCAGACAAGGATGCCTAAAATCACAGATATACCTGCAGAGTTCTGATATTTTAACCCAGGTGAGCTACATATCAGTTCTGACAGTGGCATGCTACCCTGAATACAGAAAAAGGTATAAACAGCGTGAATCCCTGACATGGGTGTGATTTCTGGGAACAAATTTTAATTTTATTGTGCAAAGGATTATTTATAGATTACAGATACTGTATTTGGGATTAGATTAGGATGAGGTTTTGTTTTGGCTATTGTGGAGAGGGGTATGTACTTTATGTATTCAGATTTAGTTCCAGAAACTACTTTACATACTTTATGTACTGTATATTTATCTCTATGGTGTGGTATTTCAAGTTGATAAAAATTGTTTTCACTTCATATTGCTATGGATGTGGTTCCATCAAGTTTTTAACTTAGATTATACAGTACAAGGTGATTTTCAATCTTGAAAGATTTTGAGGTAATGAATAGTGAGTTTGCAGTGAAACAGCTGTAGATTTGTGTAATTTTACAGTATGCTAACTGAGAATCACCTTGTATAAAGTCATGTAGATACTGTGTACAGAAAATAGTTTCTTTACTCTTACAGGGGTATCGACTCGGTCAAATATAAGCGCCCACTTCTCTTAGGAGGAATCTTGGCCATAATGTCAATAGGCTATACCTACAGGTTAGTGAGTCTTTATCTTTATACTGTACTGTACATTATTTATCTTATGGTGTGAGTTTTGCCAGCAGTGGCAAAGGGATTTTGTCATCCCATGCTAAAGGTGGGAAAGAGTGTGTTTGTTTTGAAGAGATCCCTTAACCAGTTCTCCACTTTAGAATGAAGGTAAATACATCATAGATTGCTTAACAAGGTTTGAAATGTGGAAGTGAAAAGCTTGGCAGACCTGTACATTGTTTCTCTCCAAATGTATTTCTGAGTTTGTAAGATGCAGTCTAAGTTGGGTTACATTTGGCTGAAGCAAAGATGGTAGTGTACCTAGTACATGTTAGTTTGGAGTCTTGTAGAACAAAGATTTTGGTCCAAATTAATTACAAACACTCCATATTTTAAAGGAGGTACAGTACACCTTCCAGCTAGGAATGAATTGCTAGATCTACAGTATATACTGTAAAGAATGTAGGCTAAGGGTAAAATATCACCTAACAAGATCCACTGAATGCAGGTACCCTGTACTGTACAACATTACTGAAAAAAAAACCTGGGACAAGAAACGATATGTCAACTCCATCGAAGGTAACAGAGTTCTTCTGTGACTCTGGTGAGAAACCTTTGTCAAATTTAGTACTAATAAAGAACCTGCCTAAGAGGTGACATGCTGTAGATTTTGGGGTTAACAAATATCGAAGAATGCACTAGATCCCCATTCCAAGAGTTCTTCTGACTAGGAAATACCGAGTAACTCTTAGCCATGTACCATAAGTTATGTGTCATGACATATGGTACTGTATATGCCACAAAGACATAGAAGTTAAATTCCTTTTGATTCAAGGCTCAAGTTAATTGTATACATAAATATTTTAAAATTTATTTATTTCTGATTCTAGGCTTGAGTTAATTGGAGACATTTCCAAAGAGAAAGAAGCACTGTTCCAACAAACTGACGTAGATGGGAGCAGCAAGATTAAGAACAGTATTCGAGAAACTCATTTAGAATACTTCAGAAGCTTAACAAGAGACAAAAAATGATACCCTGCTTAAACAAAAGGATTCTTTGTATGTTTCAGTGCAACAGAATTTGCATATACGTTTGGCTGTGTACTGATTGAATTATATCCATGTAAATATTTAGATATTAGATTTATTTTCATTATACATAATTATTAAAATGTTTCTTGATTTTCATTGCACACTACAAGACCTTGTGTAAATTTCTAGTGCAGTACTATATAGATACTGTACATAAATTTCAATTTCTGTGAGGGCAACCAAAATTCTGATTGGTGAAGTTGTTTCTGTAGCTGCAAAAAAATGAAGATTGGTTCTTGAAATTTAAATTGGTTACAGTATACTGTACTCTCGATTTAACAGAATCCGATACAGTATAATGAACTCTTGATTTAACAGAAGGATTTTTTTTCCGTTTTTCACCTGATTTTAGTAAACTAGTTCACTAAATCGAGATTAATTCCGTTAATACGCTACACCTATGGAGACACCTCAGACATATAATAAGAACTGTACATAGAAACATTAGAAACATTATTCATGGCTTACCTTAAACTAGGGGGTTCGATGTTTGTTTTCAATATTTTCAATTATTTACAAACTTTCCAATTGATAGCCGCACTCTTTTGACTTTCTCCCCCACACCATTTCCTTTCCGAGACTTCTGAGAGACTTTCAGCATGATGTCTAAGCACAGTACAGAAGTTAGTTGACAGAGAGGTAGCACTGATCAACACAAGCGGTGGCGGCAGGTCACAGACTGAGCGGATGCAAACAAACCCCACATGCCAAGCGGCACATATGGTACAGAATTTAATGGATTCACGCTCTATTTAGCGAACCAGTTCGCTAAATCAAGCAAAAATAACGGAAATTCAACTTAGCAGAAATTTAAATTTAACGGAAAGGGGTGGCTCGAATTAGTTCATTATATTGAGAAATTACTGTACTTTTATTGTAGTATATGAGGCGTTCCGCATTACAAGGGGGTAAAGCGCCAAATTTAAAAAGCGGAGAAAAACGCCTTTAGAGTTTTTCGAAGTTCAAACAACCATAACTTTGTTTAGCTTTTAAGCTAAAGAGTTAATTTTTTATCATGGAGCTCAATCCCTCTCCTAGCGAACAGTGAAAACTGGAAGTTAGTACAGGTTGTACCTCTCTAGTCCGGCAACCTCGGGACCTGACCGGTGCCGGACCATGGAAATTCAACCTCGAAACACCGTACATAAAGCACAAATACATAATATAGGAAATAAATAAATAAGAAAAAGTAATACTTCTCACACAAGCTCCATACCGACACCTTTATCTAATTTCTGCAATAGTTCAACCATTTTCTGGATAGATAGTGACTTGTGCTTACGCTTGGAAGCACTAGCACCACTTTCACTGCATCCGAACTGCCGGATGTAAACAAACTTTAATTTCCAACCGCCACTCCGCCAACGCCACGTAGCGGCTATTGGGCAAACTAAAATCGTTCCGGGCCACAGAATGCCGGACTAGAGAGGTACAACCTGTATACTGTGAATAGTTATTATTTTATCACGAGTTAAATGAGAATACCCCTGTAACTGTCGTGTATGGTTGTTTGCTCTTCAAACCAACAATAATTGCGTTTTTCTGCAAAAATTTCTTATTATTGTGGATTAATACTGTAAAACAAGTTAATGATCACCAAAAACAACACTCGTCTTACACTCCCCCAAAAAAAAAAAATAATAAAAAACTCATTTGCCTATCAGTATTTATCTTTCTGTCCCTATTATTAGCCAAAGATTTATAATATTGTGTAGTATAATAGTGTGTAATATGAAGGAAACACCACTACACTCATACCCCCCCACCATTAACCTCTCCCCTCCCCCAACGTAATTAACGTACGAACACAAAGGCAGAGAAAGTTTGCATAATCTTGGGTAAAAACAGTACTGTATTATGAAAATAGTATTAAAATCTTACTTTGCTTAGTTACTTCGTTTTATTATCCATGACGATCGTAGTAAGTTGAAGTTATGTAAATCCTGAGGAGTGCGTATAACTTTAATAGCCTCGTCATAATCAATCACATACTTTTCAGTCTTTCTCTGCCCTCTCAAAAAATCGCTCCTCTCACTGAACAGGATGTGACCACCTTTATTTACTGAGCACACAGCCAGATACGTAGCTCCCAGCCCAAGGCAAAATGACACCCTATTTTTGAAGGAGTTTCAACCATATTTCTAGTCTACCTAGGGGGGTACATCCAATGCCAACATGTAGAGGAAGGGTGAAAATGGTGATATCCATCAAAAGAATGCATTTTGCCCGGGGTGCCAAGCGTCTCATATCTGATATTGTGATGCGTCTTTCTACATTCTTCTTAAAGTAACGTCTACAGGTTACTCTAATTTTCCCATCAACTACAGGATATCTATATACTGAAGATGAAAAAAAACCCATAATATTTTCATATTGTAATTAAAAGTTGCAGCGTCACATCATAAAAAAAAATAAATATACGTATACTGTATATTGTGACAATTACATTAATAACAAACGAGAAGGTAACAGCACGTACAGTGCAGTGGAATCCAGATTTACAGTACAGTATATATTGTATACTTCATGAGGGGGAAACTGTTTGTGTTTAGTGGCACCCTGCTCCTATTAATTATTGATCATTGTAGGTGTTATGGACAGCTGAGGGGAGACAATGACAGGTACTGTAATTTTCCAGCATCATACTACCATCCTAAGGTTGATTCACCTATGTTAGTTGTTAACACTTTTAATAAAAAGTAAAATGATGGTTATGTTTTGTACAGTATTTTACTCTGTTGAAATACAAATTTTTTTAAGCAATTCTTTGGATTGTGTCACCCTGGTCCATGGGCTGAAGGAGCGACATCGTGTTTGGAGGGAGGAATACCACTTCTACATTAGGATAAGCGATCTGGAGTGCCTCAGGGTGACCTGGTGTGTAGATGACGAATAGTACGTTGAACTCCAGATTTTAATATATATTTTTTACTCATCCTCATGAACAAAACGGTTGTTAAACCAACCCATGTCTTGCAGTTAGACCTCCAAAGACAGGGAAGTGGTTCTTGTTCTTGGCCTTCAGGGCACAGGGGTTCAGAGACCAGTAGAGTAACATGAGGTTGATGAAGCAGTCCCCTGAGGCACAATCACAAAGGAAAAGGGTCAGCCTGTCCTTCGCTGCCATGAATCCCGGAGCAAACTTCTCAGCCATTGAAATGAAAGTTCTTTGAGGCAGCCATTTAAAAAAAAGGCCTGTCTTGTCCGCATTGAATGCCTGCTCCAGCAGGTAACCCTTCCCCTCAATTAACATTTTCAATTGTTCGGAATACAGAGCAGCGGCCTGGTGATCTGCTGATGCCGATTCTCTGCGAGTGTCTAATTGTATAGGTTGTACCTTTTCTTAAAGTTTTCAAACCAACCATTACTGGCTTGAAACTTTGTCTGCAACACTTCCACCTGGGTTTTACATGAATTAGCTCTGAACTTAAAGGCACATTTTTCTGGGCCTGGTCTTCCATAAATATGTTCAGTGCTTTTTACATCTTTTGAAGATGATGGTTGCACGGCATAAACGACACTTTTTCACCTTTCAGCGTGCCACCAGGAATACTTGCCCTTACAGTAGCCTCACTTGTTTTGGTGGTACGAATCAGGGATTCATTTACCCCCTGTAGTGCATCCCACTGATGCTATACTCTCCCTACGTGCTAGTGTATCAAGCACTTCAACTTTCCTCTCTAATGTCATTACATTCCTTGCCTATATCACTAACACTCAATGAACATTTAGGGGCCATAGTTAAGAGCAAAATTAATGTTAATACAGTAGAAAGTATGAGATATGAGATCATAACATTGAAGAGAGTGAAGACCAGTGGCTGGATATGGGATACTGTGAGGATGAATACATTAAACTGTGGAGGGATAAAGGTGCCACACCTAACTCGTTGATACATAAAACTTAATGCCTCAGTTGGTATACCAAGTGAAAACTGTAGATACATGGATTCTGCAGTTGGTGAGGGTCTGAAGTACACAGAAAGACTCTGCCAGGTTTTGAACACATACTGGCCACATTTAATTTATTTTGGGCTTGTAAAACTACGTCTTAGCAGGGTGAACCATTGTCTTTCCTAGGGTTTAGTAGGATAATGTCTACTGTAATTGTACCTCAATAATTATTTAGTCATGGGAAAAAAATATACTGTATATATATTTATTGGAAAATCATTTATTTTCCCAAGTACACATTGTCTTATTTTTAATGAGATGAATAATTACAGATGAACTATATGAAAAGAGACACACACAAAATACATTAAATACTTTAGATGGACATATTTGACTTTGAAATTTCATCTTAAATTTCAGTTTAATGTTTTAAGAAGATTCTACAGTAGAAGACAGGTGAGTGGAAGTTGGGTGTAAAGTCCTTATTTATGGTACTGTACAGTAGTTTTTCGAGAAAAATACAAACTGTATATCAAATAAGTCTTCAGACAAATGGAGCTAGGGTATATTAATTTATAACAATTTTGTTTGCAGAATGAAACACTGTACCGACTGTGTTTTGTTATGATTTGAATAAAATGCATAGTAAGTAATTTTGCTTTGGTTCCAAAATTATGTTTATTCCTCTTCTTGTAAGAGTTCTCAATTATTTCCAATTGGGCAAAGACTTTTTGGATGGGCTGTATAGTATATTTACAACCTTAAATAAGTTATTTAAAACAATGTTACTTTTTGACAAATGGCAAAGCTACTTTCAGTAATGCCAATTCTAACCAAAATTATCAATTAATGTTAACTGAAAATGATTTTGTAAACAGCATTTATAAATTGGAAATATTATTACAGTATTTTAATAACAAGAGATAGAAAATATAATTCTTAATATTTTGAAAATGTTAAGCAGAACTGTGCACTCATCTTGTCTGATAATAAAATTGTCAACAAATGCTGTAGAAATGTGTAGGTTTATCAGTAGTTATGCTTCATGATGTTCATCACATTATTTCAAAGTATAAAGAAAGTCTAATTAATTTACAGCAGAAATATGTAACCAAAAACTATTTAAAGTTTCACATGCTGGGATCACATAAGTTATGCATATAAGTTGTCTTCCATAATTCCTTGGGAAGTGGTTAGGTTTCCTGAACACTCTTGTAAGCTAATATAGCTATATAAATATAATATAATTAACTTTGCATTAGTACAGTACTTGGCTGTTAATGTGAAGTTCATTTATTAAAATAATAATTAAAAATACTAACAACAGAGTTCAGTTAATAAAACTATTTTGTTTCATTACTGTCAACAGAGAAAAGTGCAATGAAAAAATCATTGTTCAGCACATACCTTTCTTAGTGGCCCTCAATGGTAAATAATTGAAGCCTAAAATGATGCTCCTCTCCATGACAATTCTGGATGCGAGTAAGTAGGCCTTTCCTGTTAGTTGCACTTCCTTGTTAAGTAATTTTAGCTGTATTTTATGGTTTCAGACACCAATATGTGCACTTTTTTAAACCTAGTTTAAGACCACTAGAAACTTATCAGAACATTGTGATGGGTTGTACTGTATTGACAAAATCTGTTAATTTACAATACACATCTGCTATCAATGCATCTATCCTAAATCTAAATCTATATTTGCATAAAAGTCGGCACAGTTCAGAGAATCATAAACCAACTCAACTTGTTTATATACAGAACAAATACAAAACAATTAGAACACATTACAGGATTACTGTAGTTGCATAAAACTGTGGAAGACGGAGCAATTAAATTTCTTAGTCGCACAGGAATATTCCACCCACTTGTTGTCTCTCTACTGCACTCCCACATTTATGCTGTGTATCAAGAGGTACTGAACCTTGAAAGAAAATACTAAAATTCATCTTTTAGTTCGCAAAGTAATTTTCTTTCAAGAGTGATAAAAAATATAAATTGTTAAGTGAACACAAACTTACTGTCTGGTAACTTGGCACTTAACATTATATATAACTGCATCATTGGATTCAACTGTAATGAACCTGGTTCTCTTGGATGTATGAGGAGACAAACTTAAACATTGATATTTTTTAAATTCACAAGTTGGTAAGAGAGAAGTGTATTAAAAACTTATTTCATGAGAGTAGTTAACTTGGTAAAAATTTTTATTAATGACAAAAGACCAGGAAATTAGTAAAATATTGTACAAAACCTGTTTTATGGGAAGGTTGAAGTTATTATAAAATATAAAAATATGTTTCATCAAAAACAAAATTAACTTTATACTGTACGGGTATATATAAAAATCATGCCACTAAGTACTGACATAACTGGGTAAGAAATGAATACATCTTTCTACATGAGAAGATAAATAAAAAATAAAAATTTCCACAACTTAATAAACAGTAGCTGCAGTAAAAATTTAATGAATGACATAGTCATCTCATTATAAAAATGATTAATATTTTTTTAATTAAAGTCTATTTTATACTGTGCAATCCGCCCAAAAAGTATCGTAAAATTTTCCATCACTACAATTCGAAATGCATCATAATATCAGCTGTAGCTAAAGTTGGGAGAGGGAGACATCCTTGTATGGCATACTAGATACTCATTCTTGCACAAAGGTCGCGGATGTAGAACTACCACCATTCAGAAACAGGTCGCGTAACAGTGCTCGGAAAGCCTTGAATCACATCGACCTCACAGCTAACAATACTTGGGGGACTGTACATTTCCTTCATGATGAAAGGAAAACAACTTCTTCAGGAGAAGTGAGTCATAAACTAATGAGATAACTCATAATTATTATCATTTCATGAGAAGGAAAAACATCACAAACAGTAATTAAATGCTATTTCATATCCTACACACTCTTACTCCACTAAAACTTGTCATATAACACAAACAAATCTCATGATACTCAACCACACACACTGAAAATACTGTACAATGTCATTTATATAATCATGATTCCTTACAGATTACCAGTGAAGGAAGATAAACAGCAGAGGAATCAATGTACATAACTCCAGTGGCATTAACTTCTATACAGCATGTTCTCACCTTACAAATATTTTCATATTACTGTGGCCATAGACTAAGCTAGCCTTTTTTTATTTAAAGATGTCTATAAATACATGTTGTTACACAGTTAAGCACTAGACCACAGCAGTGCACATCTACTGTAAGTAGACCTGCAAGACTGTAACCTACCTTGTCATTGCCACTGTAAGCACTTGATTTTTCCCGTAATTCCAAATTTGACATCTCTGGCAAACAGTCACTTGCTTATAACAATGCCAACAATTAGCTTTCAATTCCCAAAACCATCACAGTACAATCTGCTCTGTCCAACACTCACAGTGAGAAGCCACTACAGCACATTCAGTTCCATCTAGCATTTACAGTGGGATATCAGGTTTAAGTTAGGGTAAGAATGGGTAACATTTAACATATTTCAAGTTCATCAAACTTCCTCAACATAGAAAAGTTCCTTTCTAGAAAAGGATTTCACTAAGTCATAAAATGAAAAGATTAAATTACAACAGGTGTATGAATGTATATATACAATGAACCTACAACAGCCGATGCTGAAGAATGAGTGATGTGGGATTGAAATGTTGTTTCCATAAGAATGAAAGATTTTTACAGGTGGTAATGTTATGAATAATGTGTTGAGATGGTTGGGCATGATCTAACAATATAAGTGAAATGGGCAGTAATGGGAGATGAAAAGATTGCATGGTATGAGTGATGGAACAAGTTTGTATAAGAGGCAGTTAGATGTGTATTATCCAATTTTCCAGAGCAAATTTTACAACTGCCACAGTGTGTATAAATGACATACAGGTACTTTAAGCTCAAGATCACAATAAATGGTACTGGAAATTGGAAGCTCCAAATGATGGCAGGAATTACATTCCTGTACACATTATTCCTCTGGCGAATGTTATATCTTGACACAAATGGATTACTTGAAACTCCAGCACAGATTGGCTAGAGTTCAGCAACTGTTCAGTCCTACCATTACATACAATATCTATATCTTGATAAATTTTGGATTATTTAGTCCAAGTTTGAAATTTATATCCGAGAGGACAATGGAATACTGCCTCTCCTTTTCAGCACTTATACCCAACATAATGTCCTCATCCACCTCTTCCTCTTTCTTCTCACCATTGTTGTTATTCTTTTTCTTCTTCTTCTTTTTCTTCTCTTTTACAGGCTCCTCATCTTCATCCTCATCCTGAAAATATCATGAATGAGACAAAATACTACACCCTTCCCCTAAAAATTTTATGAATGACAAATTCGTTCTTCTTGATTCTGACAAAGTGCCATGAGAAAAATTTAATGTTTCAGCTGCAGTAATATTACACACAACAATGCTGAAAGTCTATTTGCTGGTCTAGACAGAGGAGCAAATTTAAAGGAAAACTAATAAAAATTAAGAAATACTTGATTAACTTAAAAAACAAGATACAAATTCCACATTCAACAAAGAAAAAAAAATGACAATAAGTGAGTATGATGAAACCTACAGTATCTGTGTTCAATGTTATGTACAGGTATATACAATCTTTTTATGCACAAAGCTTATTTCATGCAGACATGGGATGTGAGGAGGATGGGGCACATACAGCTCTATGCGTAAACGTAAGAAACATTGATTAAGTAGTAATATCTCCGTTAGCCGGAATCCCTCAAACCCGAAACTCTCCGATAGCCAGAACTAAAATTTTCTCGGAAAATCATTCCCAAAGCCATAATTTTCTAGAAAATTCAGGCGTTGGGAGCAACTTTCCGAGGGGCACATTTTCTGGACAATTCTGAGAAAATTTTCCCAGTACCCAAAAAATTCCGGGGATGGGGGATTTTTATTCCAGGTTTCAGAGATGAAATTCAAGGTCATTTTCCTTACATTCCACGAAAAATGTTCTGGTAACCGGAAAATTCCGGGGATGGAGGATATTTTTCTGGGTTTAAGAGATAATATAATGTGCAGTTTATGGAACTTCCAAAAATATTTTTCAGTTACCCAGAAAATTCTGGGGATGAGTGATTTTTTCCTGCTTTGAGAGATGAAATAATGCATTGTTCCGGAACTTTCGAAAACATATTTCCGTTACCCGGAAAATTCCAGGGATGAGGATTTTTTTTCCGGTTTTGAGAGTCGTCTCATTATCCGGAAATCCCTCATTCCCGTAAGTGCTCTGCATCAATTGTTCCGGTTAACGGAGATATCACTACTGTATACTGTAAAGCCTATAGTCATTTGATCAAGATACAGCCACCAAGAAGTCATACATACAGTACATTGTCATTTATTTGGACAAAGCAAGTCTCATTCATAAACACTGGCACAGATAAAAAGAATTGTCATTTCATTGAAATAGCCTAAATCACTATGCAGTCCAATGTAAGTTGCTATTCATCTTGATATACTGTACACTTATAACATGCTACTCAATACAAGGTGTTCATCCAAACAGAGCAATACTGTACTGTACCGTACTGTATGATCCACTTAATATGTAGTTCATCTAAACATGGCAATTCTGTGTAATCTATATGTAGTTAAAAAAATTTCACCTAAATCTAAAACAAAGTCTAAATTAACATGTAGTCAAAAACAAATAGCCATTTACCTAGACACTGTACAGGTAAGACTAGAGAAAAGAACATACTGTACTGTACAGGGGCAGTACAGTACAGTATATAAGAGTTGTGTGAAACAAGTCAAGAAGAGATTTACTGTATATGAAGTGCCAAGCATAGCTGCCCAGTCACTTCTTGATAGAAAGAAAAGAGTACAATACCAGAAATTTGAGCATTAACAAGAAGTAGAATAAGAACCAAAAAGAAAGGAAATGCATAATGAAAAAGAGAAGTTTGCTACCTTGAATCAGAAAGGCACATGTCAGGAGTAAATAGAAATAAAGCAGCAGAAAGATGCATATCAGGTGTAAATAAAATAAAGCAAGTGAATAGGAATGGCATTCCAGGATGATAAAAAGAGCCTAGAAGAATAGCATAGCTACAAGGGATACAGCAGGCCTGAATATTCATGTAAAAAAAAATCATAACGGTCAAAATAGAAGAGGAGCACCACACAGTGAGGGAGTCTTTACAAGATGCTTCATTGCCAGTCAATGGGCAATGATGGTCACTAACATATACCAAACCTTATTGTGTGTGTGGAAGATGTAGGCTAGAGTAGGAAAAAGTATACACAAAGATTTGCTTACCAGCTGGCTATTAATGTGAACGTGTGTATTTCCACGAGCGTATGTATGTATATATGTGTGTGTGTGTGTGTGTGTATGTGTGTGTGTGTGTGTGTGTGTGTGTGTGTGTGTGTGTGTGTGTGTGTGTGTGTGTGTGTAAGATTAGACAAAAATAATTTAAATCAATGCTTTAAAGAATCAACAAAATATTATACTAACTAAAATGTATAACTCGAGAAAGAAAAAAGAACCAATTAATATGTGTATAAAATCCACTGAAGGTGCCTAATGTTCAACAATGTACAGTAATACAGTACTGTACAGTGTACAGCACAGTAATGAGAGGCAGCATCAACAAGAAATATAAAGACTTATGAATGAGGTTGGAGGTTGTCCCAAATAGGTAAAATAAAATAAAAATATGAGTCCAAAGTAGCAGTCTGGGGTTGTCTATAGAAAGTCAAAAGATGGAAAGGTATGCAAAGGTTAAATTCACAGCAACTGATACAACATTCTAATTGTACTATAGAGTCCATTCCTGGTAAGTGGTGCATATTATATAACTGCATGATGTGGCATACTGTATTTTGTTTAATGTGTACTAAAATTTTAAAACATTAACAAGTTAGGGGGTAAATCTAGTATCCGCTTCCGAGTCATTTACATTCCAACACCGTGGAAGTAAATAACTTGTTCCGCGCGTCTTGATTCAATGTGAGCGTTCACCTTTTGGGACACTCCCCGCCTCCCAATAAAATTGATACTAACCTTGTTGTACCGGTATATTGCAACACTAACCGGCTCTGAGTTGTTCTTGACTTTGCGTTCCCTCTTCACCCTTCCTGTTGGGTTTGGCGGCTCCTCCTTCTGTCTCTCCTTTCGTGCCTATGTTTAAAATTGCAGCGCTGGTAAACATAACCGGACACACACATAATCACTTTAAACATGTAAACTACTGTACTGATATCTCTCATAAAGAAATAAAAATATATTAAAATACATATTACCTGTACCACCTCCTCACTGCCAACTCCACACCATTAACAACTAAATGAAATGGAACAAATGTACTATGTCTGATAAGAAGTTAATATTTAATCCCATTAACAATTCAGGCTGACTGAAAATATATCAACAAAGATCCCAACATTGCCCGAAGGCTTCCTAAGCGTTTACTCTACTCACTAAGCTTTTATGTTAATGGGTCTACTATAAAATTCCTTCTTATAACATACAGTACATTATTTAGTCTAGTTACTCCTGTGGTGGGAAAATAAATGACGGTACTGAACAATGAAGAATTATTGACCTTCCTCATTTGATTTTCGTATTCTAAGGCATCGTAGAAGTTTGGTTTTTCTCTCTTGACTCGCTCACTGCGCCTCTTGCCCTCAGGTGCTGGTGACCCCAACTCTCCCTTCCCTACAGATGAAGCCATGGCCATCATTCCACTGACAGAACTAGAAGTAGCAACACCACGGCTTGGTTTCATATCTTTCAGGGTATTGTCTTCTAAATCCTCTACTTCTGAAGGATTAGATGTAGTTGATCTCCGACGCTCTTCAAAGAACTGATGACCGCAGTGACAGTGTTTCGTAGCCACTGGTACCTGAAAAAATAATAAATTCACTTATTGGCTGAAGATAACTTGATATTCAGTTTACACATGAATATTCTAACCTTATTATTCAGGGAAACTTGGCCAGGTTCACAAGGAAAATATCCACACATGGTTAATCAAGTGAAGATGTCCACTGCATCCATCACCAATGATAGCTAACCTATTGTCTATGTCAACTATATCTAGGGTTACCCCCAGGCCCGTCCTTTAAGGGGGGCGAACAGGGGCGACCGCTCGGGGCCCCGCGCGTGTGGGGGCTACGCGGGACCCAGCGACCTCGGACACATTACCTGTTGACTGGTTAATCTGACCTGACGGCTTATGCCACCATCGCAACCATGACCTTACCATCCATAGCGACAGTCCCATGGGGGTTGGTGGGGGTGGGTTCCCCTGACCGCATAATCTGACTCCATAATCCATTGTACTCCACTCCACACAGCCAGTCCACCAGGGTCAGTAACCAGTGAGATCAGGTTGTGTCCTGTCCTGTGACTCCTGCCTTTTGAGTTTTGTGGGGCCCCGCAGTGGCTGAGTTGCCCCGGGCCCCGCACCCTCCTAGGGACGGCCCTGGTTACCCCGCTAACAACTTTACCTATCGCACATGTTAGATAAACCTAAAATTCATAGCAGTTAAACCTATCACTCGTAACAGCTAAATCTATCATCCAAAGACGCTATGACTACCATCTATTACAGGGGTAACCAATACAACAGTCCTAAAGTGTCAGTCAAGGAAAGTAAACTGTTCTCTAAGTTTTACCAGGTACAGTACCTCAGTATAACTATGGACAGCCCTAAACTACTGTAAGTACTTGAACAAGTAAATAATTCCCTACTTTTCTTAACTTGTAAAGGCTTTCAATAAAGGGTAAAGTGTGGTACAGTACTGTACAGAATTAAAAAAAAAATAAAATAAAAAATTTCCTACCTTTATAAAATCTTTGACTCCTATAATTTTTTTAGGCTACATTCAGAGACAATACTTATTTCTAAATTGTACAGTACTGTACAGAATTTTTTTTTTTTTTTTGCATACTGAGGAAGATCTACTGTATGAGTAATTTTATCCAAATGATGAATTACCCTTTAAACGATAATAAACTTACTGAAAACTTAAACGTGCCCTTGGGTCAACTATTACTGTACAGCACCTCACAATTTTACTGACAATTAACTACCAACATAAATTTCAATGAGCTCAATTACGACACTAAAAGTGTCTAAAAATTCAAAACATTAACCTGGAAAATATCACCCAGCTTGGCAAGGTACAGCCAATCCAAAAAGTATCAAGACCCCCAGGCATCCAAAAGAATGTGAAACATCGGGCAAAGACCAACTCAAATGATACATGAACCCATCTAAGGTTATCACTCATTTTCTATTCCATCGGACCCTGGGGTCTCGATAATTTTTGGATTGGCTGTACATTACTGCATAAAAAAAATACTACGAGTGAAAGGTCCAAAACATGCCCACAGTGTCTACAGCTGTATTGAACCACCACTAATACAGTAGTATTTGATTGAGGTGTACAACACAACACCACACTATAATGTGCCGTACTGTGGAGATGGAAAGTCTGTCGGCTCAAACTGTGTCTGTATCATAAATCCAATACTGTACTGTACTGTACAGGCAATTTTAGTCCCATTACTTTGAGGTATCTGTACTGTACAGTTGTTAGGTTATGATTAAACATGACCTATCACAGTTAAGCCGAATTGTTAGCTTGCAATGCACCAATACAACAGTAAAAAACCTGAATATTTTTTTCTCAACCTGAATTTGACTAATACTGTATAATATTTCCACCACAGTACAAATGATCTAGCAGTAAGTTTCCCTATATAGTACTGTACTGTACACTATAAAGACCAATGATAACTCATGAAACAAGACCATGCACACAAAGATAAATTCTATGTGTCACATTAACCAACTGTATTTAGCTCTACTACTTCACCACCTTGATGGCACCTTCAGTGGTATGTTTGTTTTAATACACACAATGCAATTCCAGTTTGGGAGTAAAGAAAAGGTGAGTGAAAATAATTGTTACCATAATACAGAAGTGTACTGTAATGTACAGAACAGTACACGAATACAAAATTACAAGACTTCAGAAAAAGAAATTAACAGTGGCCTCAGTACATCCTAAGACCTGCCAAACCTTTACCGAAATAGTTAAGTCTGCGCTTAGCAGAGCAATCCACTGAGTACAGTACAGTACAATACAGTACTGCCAAGTAAGAGTACAGTACAGTACCAGTATACTGTACTGTATGTTGCTTTCTGGTGTACTTCTGCTAACACCAAGGAATTTTTGTCATTTAGCTGAAAGGTTAAAGGTGTTGAGGCCACAGCCTGTTTGCCACTTCCTTAGTAATTTTTAATTAATTTCTTAAAGTTGCAATGCTGGACCCAATAATAATATTCAACAATTACAAGTACAGTATACAGTATTGTATTGTCAAATAAAAAACGCCCTAAAAACAAAATGCCCCAAAGTGCTAAATGAGTGATGATCATAATAATTTTCTTTCTCAAACCATTATGAAGCACTACATGAACCAAACAACTATACAATATCCATATCTACTACACATACCGTACTGTACTGTGAAAGATTGTTAGTTTAGGTTTGGTCACTTCAAGACTTCATTTTTTCCTTGCTCATCCAGTGGACACACAATATGTACATAAATACAAATCTATTAAGTGATTCTCAATTGCATACAGAAATTGCAGGGTGAATTTCTGGGACAATTCTATGCCACACGTTGATATGACAAAATGTCGGAATTCACAGTTTCGTAGCTGCAATACTTGAAAGAGTTTTAGATAATGATAGTTAGTTTGGAGTGAAACAGCTGTAGATTTGTGTAATTTTATGAGCTTCATACTTTTAATTTTTTTATATGTACTTTACTGTACGAGTTATTGCCAATCCACAAAGTAGTAATGCGACCCATGTTCACTGTTTCACAAAGCAAACCAAACTGAATTTAAAACAATGGAGGACTCGCTTGCTGTCTAAGGGACACTACACGCTCATTTACGTGATGTCTCATAGGCCACTTGTTATTGGCTAAGGGCTAAAGGCACTCACACTGTCACTGGTCAGCCTACTCAGGCACTCACAGCTTGGCAGGAAACTGTTGTCTCTTGAACTGTATTTTCATACAATTTTACTCTAAAAACATGACATTATTATAGTAAATGTTCAAAATACCTTCCCTCTGCCTCAATGCAGGCCTCAGCATGTTGTACCATTGATTGTCTGATGCATCCCAACATACACGGACTATTTCTAATCTGTTCACAATTGTTACGAACTCGTAACCACAATTCACCTATTCTTTGGACCTTTGTTACATAAACTAGAGTCTTTAAATGTCCCCACAGGTAGAAATCAAGAGGGTTCAAATCAGGGGATCAAAGTGGCCAGGGAATGGGACCACCATGCTCTATCCACTTTTTGAGATACACATCATGCAGATATTCCCTAGTGGTACAGGTGAAATAGGCTAGCGCACCATCATGCATAAACCACATTTGACGTCGAGTTCTAACTGGCACATCTTCAAGTAGCAACGGCAACATCTCCTCAATGAAATGCCTGTAGACATCACCAGTCAACCACTGTGGCTGTAAATATGGCCCAATAACATTACTGTAACTCCAATAATGCCAGCCAATACCTTTATCAAAAATCTCTCCTGATGTGCTGTATGAACAGGTGAGTGAGGGTTCTCTTCTGCCCAAGTATGCACCTTGTAAGTGTTGTACTCTTTTCCTTGTAAAAATTGCTTCGTCTGTAAATAATACTTTGCTTGAAAAGAGATAATCATCAGCACGGTGGCATAAAAACCATTGACAGAAGTCAATTCATCATGGCTCGTCGATCAGATTCAGCGCTTGGTCTTTCTGATGGTGAAAGGGTACAAAAGCTGTTTATCAGGCACATCCAAATTGTTGATTGTGAAGTGTCCACAGCAGCAGCAACTACTTGAGTACTTCAAGACGGATCCTCTTGTACCAAATATAGAATCTGCTCGTCTGTGTTGAGCCTACATTGGTCGTTATGTCATCCATAATCTGAAGTATGTTGACAGAAAGTGCAAAGTGCTCGTTTCCCTTTGCCTCCCATCAACTTAGAGGAACGTTCGTGTATTTGGCAGCTTTCGGATTGGATACCGATCTGCATACAGTACACTCATACTGATTGCACATCATTGCCATCTGCCACTCCTATTATTCAACATTTGTGTATTCATCCATAATTCACTAGGATACAGCATCTAAAATTAACACAAGATATTACTTGTAAACACTGGGAAATGCAGGTACGATTTTATGAAATATCTGCAATGTTACTGAACCTCATTAGTACTGTATGGAATTACTCTAACTCACTTTGGTTGGCAATGGCAGTCTGCCTTGTCCCATGGCAATGATGGAAATGTTCATTGGCCTACATCAAGCAGCCCACAATACTGTACCACCCTCCTCCCTGCATCTTAAACTACTGCCACCCAACATTATCTCATTTGGTTATACACATTCACTGTCCCATTGAAACTAGTTATCTCTATCTACTTTTGAATACCATTTACTGTAATAATGGACCTGTACCACATTGTGTAGAGTTATGTCCATAAAATTACACAAATCTACAGCTGTTTCATTCTAAATTCACTTTCATTACCTACAATTTTTCAAATGCTGTAGCTATGAAACTGTGGATTCTGACATTTTGTTATAGTTCAGTGATCATATTTTCTCTCAATACACAGCTGATCATTCCTTCAAATTCAGTATACAGTACAGTACAGGTGTCCCTCGTTTAGCGTTAACTTGGTTCAGTGATAACAAATTTTTACATCCTTTTTCACTTAATGGTGGGTCAAATTTCGGTTTAGCGATAACTTGACTCAATGGGAAGGGGAAAAACTTGGGGATGGGGTGGTCTGTGAGATGGCATGTTGTCATTGTTACATGAAATGAAACTACTCGTGTAAATGTTATGGAAAAATCACTGCAATACTCTACTGTGGCTTAGAAATAATGAAAAAAAAAAAGTACATAGGTGTGCATATGTGAAAAGTGTGGAGGAAGTGGGCCAAACCCAGCCATTCCCACCCCTGATGTGAAGTCATGGCATACACACAGCAGCTACTGTATATGCCTCTGAGTCAGCAGAGTGACTGCATGGCTGAACTGTGTTGAATCACTCTGAGGATGGTTTGAGTGTGGAAAAAGCTATTTTTCCCATAAAAATTTTGATATTGTATTTTATGATGTGGTGTTAATAAATCAATTGTTAACTTTGAAACTGCTTAAAACATTTTTTCTTTTATTATTAGGGAGTACAGTACTGTACTCAGTGTTTATCACCCTGCTGTTTGAGCCTGTTGTTTGCCTTCTGTGTTTAGCAATGATTTCGCTTAACATTAGGTTTTCAGGAATGCAACCCCATCGTTGAATAAGGGATACCTGTAGTGAGAGGAATATACACAGCTGACCTTGAACTATCCATCGTCAATAATGATGGGTCATAAGTTAACATGTACAATAAATGGTAATATCTAAGGACACTTGGCTGGGTTATCCAGCCATCTAACAAAAAATAGCTATAGAAGAAAACTTATTTCTTACCATAAAAATAAAGCACCTAGGTTGGAGGAAGAGCACCTTTCCTTTAAATTTTTTCCCCTAGTTTTTCCTCTTCATTAAAATCGTGCATTGGTCCCAAGACTAGGTTGCCGCCATCTCTGTTGACCTGAGCCTTAGGATGTCATCATTATTGTCCAAACTTTTCATAGACATTAATAATAGCTAATGTTATTCAGTTTCATATTCACTAATAAGAGACAAGAGTTGCAGCCGGAGTTTTATATAAAAAAATCTATTGACGATGATAAATTATTTTCTTACATTGATAATAATAATACAGTACTGTAATAATATCATCCCCAATCATGACAACAATACTTAATATTTATGATGACAGTTCATATGGGGGAAAGATTGTCTATAGGATGTCAGTGCACATATGTTTTGTCATTTATCACACACCATATGGCTTCAGAGCTGGTGTGTGGTAGCAACATTTCATTCTTTACAGAAATACTAGGAGCAAAAACTAGTACAGTACAGTAATAGCAAAAGTGTTATCCCTCCACCTGATTTGCTTAAGTCTTGTAGTAAGAAATAAAGTCTCTTCTGCAAAGTTTTTTTTATCAAGTGGTTGGATAACCCAGGTGACTGTCCTTAAACATTACTCTTGTAAACTATCCACAAGTCATCTTCATCTACCAGTAACTGCTCTACAGTGGCCTATCAATTACAAAGGGCAGGGGTTATTTTGACTAGTACCCGGCCGAATAACTACTGGTTATTTGACTGGGTTCTGGCGAAATAGCCATTGGCTATTTCACCATGGATTATGTATAATTTTAATGTGTAAAGTATTGTTTAAGAATTATTGTACCACATGAATAATTATTATTTTACTATATTTGTAACGTAACCTACGTTCATGAGAGAAGCGCAACATCTCGGAGTATCAGAAGACCATTAAAGAAGATAGCAATAAAACATTCAACATTTAAATAATTGTGTAGTGACGAGTGTAATGCCTGCAGCCTCCCTAACCAGATCCCATGAAATCATACACAATCTCCACGGGTCCCGGTTAAATAGCCAATGGTTATTAGGCCAGGAATCTCGGTCAAATAACCATTTGGTTACACACACACACACACACACACAAAATTTTTTTTAATAAAAATCTTTGCAAATCTATTAATTTATTCCAATACTTACTAAGATTTAGAGACTTTCATCTTCATTTCCTTTGCTAAGTTATTTAAACAATAGTACTGTATACAGTACTGTACTATATTTCTATCTGCAATCTGTAATTAATGGAGTGAGATGAGAGAAATACATTTTGTTCACGAACATCTTACACATACAGTATATTGTAGCTATTCATTTAATAATTACCAAAAATATTCCAATAAATTTATAAGATCCATCCATACAACCAAGTTAATCCACACTTGATTTATTGTTATTTATTTGGTCCAATTTGACTTTTGAGATAACAAAAAAAATGCAACAGTCCATGTTATTTGTGGCTATGGATGGGGAACATGTTAGCTGGAAGATTAAGTTCAGTGTCTAAACCGGCTGCCAATATAATAATGGTCTGTTTCCTCGAGATTTCTGCTACAACATTTGCTTTAATGCATAAAACAGAAATCACGTGAGAAAGAAAAACTAAAAATTTATTTACATTTTAGTTAGCTTACGCAGATATGAACTAATGAGATAAATACATACAGGTTATGATGTACTAAGCTGTTTGTTTCTGCTGGAAATCAGTGATATATCAAGTTAATTCTACAAAGTACCAACAGCAGAGGACACAACCTACTTTTTGTTTTCCAAATAAATTCTAAGTAGCTTTGTTGACCCACCAGATTTATATTCTATGGATGAAAATAAACATTGAAGTGAAAATCCCAAAGGAAACAAACCATAATTAAGTTTGTGGAATCATTCTGGACACTTACCTAAACAGTGATGAATGATATAATTACCAATAGTGAATTTTCTTGAGAACTACAGCCTGACACCATAAGTGTACATGTGTTAGTTTAAGTCTCTAGTTATTTCAGTAAATTCATTACAATCAATCAACCCCACAACTCTTCATATCCTTATATCCCATGGATAATGTAGCTTATACTGTTCTGTATAACAGGACAACCTGGTAACTCTTTTCACATTTCCAATGACTCCTGAAGCACCGTGATAGTTTAGAGAACACTGATAACCACAAACAAGTGATAAGACGTCCAATATACTGTATGGCACGCTATCACTAACACTCCTCACACAGTGAAGCCAGACTCCACCATCCCTCACTCACTGGTCACATCAACCGTGTTCTTTTTAACGACCTAAAACACTCATTCAGTGCGAAACATAACTGCACAACCTACACAATAGTTCGAAAAATGTGTCAGTAGAAAAACTGCACTATTAATAACTGTATTTTGACTTTATTTGCTGTTATTTTAATGTATTTATGCCTCCCTACTCGCCCACTCACCACCAGTGGCGTCCACAAGACAACGACCAAGGAAGTGGTCGACGCAGTGGCCAAAATACGGCGCCAAAACACTAGAAAACGGTGAAAATTTATAAAAATCATCTACCGTCATTAATAGATGACCGCTGATTGATTTTAGAGTTTGGAATAAGTTGTTTGGAGAAGATAACAACCTGGAAACCGTAAAGTCTCACCTGTTTCTTGCACTCTGGACACTTCTTGTTCACTGCTTTGCTGACACCTTTTGGAGGCATGACGGAATTACACCTACAATTTTCTATATTTTTATTCTTAATCTAAAAACCTTCCCCACACCCCTATCCCCTTGTCAACTAGATGCAAATGAGGAGCGGGGAATCATGGGGGATTTCGTCTTTGAGGATCGTAATTATGCGTAACAAAGAGCTGCAATACTCCACATATAATGCTCCATGATCAAGGCTGCGAGTGTTTACAGATTGTCCGATTCTAATAACGTGCAACAAATTGATTTTATCATAACATATTAATATATTAATTTCGTAATTACTGATATATTCGTATTATCTTCGTATCATTTGATGTAAGTTATTTTCTTGCATGTTTTGTATTATTGTTATTTGCATTTGTTGTGTAATATGCATATGATTAAAAACGGTACATCCGAACATAGTCCGATTGAATTATGAATTATTTTCAATTCATGTGGAGCAATAAATTCCCCTATGTCCCATGACTATGTTATCAGCATTTATTTTTGTTTAACAAACTCATGAAATAGAGAATATTTTAAAATTTACATGAATTTAGATTTTGAGAAGGTAATAGAAACATAAATGAAATACTTAGGAGCTCGTATTAACCTCAACCAACTGTTGTGTACTCAAGACGGATCATCTACACTATGTTAATGCTTCCTTCTTATCAAATTCACGTAATTATTAAATTATTTTTTCAATGATCTTTTAGGAAATAAGATACTTAAAATGAAGGCATATTCTATAAATTTAAAACTAACCGGCATTGGTGTAATATTGATTTTAGATTATATCTCTCCCGTGTTTTCTGCTGCGAAGGTGAGGTTTTTGCGCGCCATCCTTATCTTTCAAAACTCGCTTTATAAGCCGTAACTTTATCATAACCGCGTTACTATTGTCCTTGTACCTTTCCCATGGCCAGAAGCATTCTCATGGTTATACTTTTCTACTGACGAAGGTCATGTTACAGCTATAAGGTGCGAGAGAGGTACTAAACATATCTGTGAGTATACAGTATGTGTGGCCCTCTCCACCTCCGCCTCCTGTCCCCCCACCCTTCTCTTCTATTCCCTCCCCATTCCCCTCTTCCTTCCCAACTTTTCTATGGCCCTCGCTTTCCTTAACTACCTTCTTCTTTCCTTCCCTCCCTCCCTCCGCCTCCCCTCGTCATCAAACACTAGGTCTTGGGAAGTTCCCTTGAAGTATGACGTGAGGAGGGAGGCTTTTATTTTTTTTAAGTCGGAGTAGGAGATAGGAGGAAAGGCAGGGGAAATGGTAAGGGGGGGCGGGGGAGTCAGACTGAGGGCAGGGAGGGCGAGGGGAGAGAGATGGGTGGAGAGGAGGAGGAAGAGGAGATTGACACGGGCCAGATGGAGGGTCGGTAGAGGAGGTGTGGGGGGTAGGGGGTACAGAGGGTGGGGAGAGAAGAGGAGGAAATGGGTTTGTTAGGGAGAAACAGGGGGAGGGGAGGTGAATACTGTACATGTAGGGAGGGTCGTCAATAGAAAGGACAGCATGAGGAAAAGGGGGAGGCCGGGAGGGGGTGGGAGATAAAGGAGACAAAAAGACTAACGTTGTGAGAGACAAAGAATGGATGTTGTTAAAGTGTGTGGGGTGGAGAGGAGGGAGGAGGGTGAGAGCAGACCAGTTAAATATGGATGGAAGAGGTAGGAAAGCAGAGGTTGTCAGACAGTGGAAAAAAGGGAGAGAGAGAGAGGAGGGAGGAGAGTAGGTCCAGGTGGGAAGGTGGTTATGGAGTAAGACGGATGGATGATAACAGGCCTGGAGGGTGTGGGAAATTTGATAAATAAAAAAAAAAAAAGAGAGGTGGGGACGCCTCAAGGGCATTTCCCATTCCAAACCTGGAGGAGGGAAGGGGGGAGGAGGGAAATAAGGGAAATAAGGAAAGTGATGAGAGGGAAGGAGGGAAATAAGGAAAGTGATGAGAGGGGATAAAGGGAAATAAAGGCAGTAAAGGGAAAGAAGGGAAATAAAGGGAAGTAAGGGAGGAAATAAGGGATGGGGACAGAAGGAGGGATATAAGGGGAAGGGAGAGAAGGAGGGAAAGTAAGAGGAAGGAAAGAGGGAAATAAAGGTAGTAAGGGGAGGGAATGAAGGAAATAAACGGAAGTAAAGGGGGGGATACGGAGAAAGAGAGACAGGAATAAAGACATTACAATAAAGATAACAACAGTTGGTCTATTATTAACTCATGAGAGACGGCTTTTGTTTACACACTCACCCCGGATCAGTCACATTATCTGTCCAACCTTTTATCTGAAACTTCCCAGCAAGTTCGAATTAGCAGTTTAATTAACTTGTAGCCTACCCAACCAACTAACAAGCAACCCAACTAACCTAACCCAACCCAACCTTTAATAACCCAACCCAACCCAATCCAACCTAAAACAACCCAAACCCCCAACCCAACCCAACCCAACCTAACCCAACCCAACCAACCCAACAACCCAACCAACCCCAACCAACCAACCCAACCCAACCCAACCCAACCCAACCCAACCCAACCCAACCCAACCAAACCCAACCAACCCAACCCAACCCAACCCAACCCTTAACCCAACCCAACCCAACCCAACCCAACCTAACCCAACCCAACAACCTAACCCCAACCCAACCCAACCCAACCAACCTCCAACCCAACCTAACCCAACCCAACCCCCAATCCCAACCCCCAACCCAACCAACCCAATCCAACCTAACCCAACCAACCTGCAACCCAACTTAACCCAACCCAACCCAACCCAAACCCAACCCAACCCAACCCACCCAACCCAACCCACCCAACCTATAGTAAAAGCTTCTAGGTCGTCTTGTAATAATTTTCGTGTCTGGGTTAATTATACGTATTTGGGATCGTCAAAAAAGTGAAGGAGAGAAGGAGGAAGTTAGAGTCAGGAGGAGGGAAGGAAGGAGGGAAGTTAGAGTCAGAGGAAGGAGTCAGGAGGGAGGAGGAGGAAGTTAGAGTCAGGAGGAGGGAAGGAAGGAGGAAGTTAGAGTCAGGAGGGAGGAGGAAGGAGGAAGGAGGAGTTAGAGTCAGGAGGGGAGGGGAGGGAGGAAGGAGGGAAGTTAGAGTCAGAAGTTAGAGGAGGGAGGGAAGGAAGGAGGAGTTAGAGTCAGGAGGAAGGGAGGGAGGGGGGAAGTAAGACGGGGAGGAGGGAGGGGGAGTAAGAGACGTGAGGGGGACGAAGATAGGACGTCTAGGCCAGGTCAAAATAAGAACATAATAACCTAACCTAACCTTCTCTAACCTAACAACCAACCTAACCTAACCTAATATAACACAGGAGATGACAAACATTCCTATATATTTTACTATTACCTCTCCAGCAGATAAGGTGACAATGATAAGAGGGATTAGGAAATACAGTAAGCCTTGGAGTGCCCTCTTGTGGGTAGCTGTAAATCTTGTCTCCACCTCAGATATGATGTATTCCTGGGAGGGGGGAGGGGAGGGAAGGGGAGAGAGGAGGGAAGGGAGGGGAGAGAGGAGGGAAGGGAGGGGAGGGAAGGGAAAGGGGGGAAGGGGTAAGCGATAGTCGTAGTGTCTGCTGGGGTGACGGTACGATAGCGCCGCCTAACTCGAGGCTTGGAGGGGTGACGACATTAATACTTTACAGAATAATATGAGTGTGTCTTACCGTGTGTCGTCCTCAGTAGTATATCAGGCAGTCAATGTGGAGTCACTCAGATCACAAATCCAAAAGTAAACAAACTTGCAGGAATGGCTGGCGTCTGGGTGGAGTCTCACACCCAACTGGAGGCATTTAAACGCAACAGACGTGGACTTTGACCTCACTGGAGTATCCGGTAATGTTGCTGCCTCCTAATGAGTACTTACCTGGGATATACGTATTTCAGGTCAACCCGATGAAGGTAAGGTTAGGTAATGACACCCTAGCCTCAGGTCATGTTGGCTTTATGCTGTTGCCAAATTGTAAGGTGAGGAAGGGAGGAAGGGAGAAGAGAAAGATGTAGCAGGTAGTCGGCAGCTATCAAACAGGGAGGTACTACCGCCTGGGAAGATATTGGCAGCATAATGTGTTGTCTCATGGTAGACCCTGCTGCCATATGACATCACGAAAATTGTGACCAAGTCCCAGGTTGCTGATCTGACTTTCTGCCTCATTTACACACAAGTGCAGGGTCTCAATTGTTTATCTTACTTTGACAACACAACATACATATTTCTTTATGGTTCTTTATTATTATTATTACAGTGTTATTATTATCATTAATATATTATTTATTTATTTTAACATTTTTATTATAAATTATCTTTACTAGGAATTATTATTGTTATTATTATTATTATTATTATTATTATTATTATTATTATTATCCTTGGTATTTCGATGTGGGTCAGTGACCTGTGCCTGGGTGGGCTAATCCCCGTAAAAAAAAATATAATAATAATGGGAAGATGAGAGGAGGGTGGGAAGATGATAGGAGGGTAAAAGGTTTATCCAACAAAAGTCAGGTCAGGTCAGGTCAAACACTTGCTTACCTATACAGTTGAAACCTCGTACCACCAGGTAACAGTTATCTGATAACTGGAGATAAGCAAAGGAAGATAAGTCTAATGTATGTGAGTACCCACCCCCTTCTCTCTCTCTCACTCCTCCATTAACACTAATTATTTCAATCCCTCCCTATTTCTTTTCTCCTTTAATTATCCTTCCTAACTATCCCCTACCCCCTCTTAACTACCTCCTACCTGAGCTTTCCCTAAACTACCCCTCTTTCGACCTAATTTCCCTCTTCCTCCCTAATTTCCCCCTAACAACCTCCCCTTCCTCCCTAATTCCCCCTAACAACCTCCCCTTCCTCCCTAATTCCCCCTAACAACCTCCCCTTCCTCCCTAATTTTCCCCCTTACAACCTCCCATTCTCCCCTAACTTCCACATCTCTCCCCTAACGCCCTAACTTCTCTCTTCCTCCCTAACAATCTCCCTTCGTACCAAGAGATGAGGAAAATGATAAGAATGGAAAATAAGGAAGACAGAAAAGAAGATGAAGATAAATAAGAAAAACCAGAGAAACAACAATAATAAGCAAGCGTGGAGACAGAGCCCAGCAAAAACTCTAAGTGTCTGGACGGAAATGAGAAGAGAAATACGAGAAGGTTTTTAAGACTCAGGGAAAGAACGGATATAGCTACACATAACA